ACACACTCGGGCACAATATCGATATATAACTGTTACCATCAAAGCTCTAATAACGATAGTTTTTTTATTTCATAACAGCTGGAGCAACTGAATCCCAAGGGTAGCACTGGATCATTTCTCTCATTACAAAGACCTTTTATAAAGGTTTTATAAACAGAATCGTGTGTCTGGTGCAATTACTCGACTTCTCGGGACTTTCGACATTTATTGAAAATGTAAAAATGTCGATTTGTTTAAATATAAGATATTGTGGATATAATGCAAAATAAAAATTCAAAAAAATCGATTTGACGATTACCGGATCGCCTATCCGATCTTGAGATATGGTAAGCTATTTGTAAGGCTCAGCGTTTTACTATAATAAACATAAGAACAAAGTGTTACATGTTTTTCCCGAAATACCGACGACTCTTGTCCTATACGATCAGTGATGCCTGATTCGTCAGCTGGCGATTAAACGAGCATATTAAAAACCACCCGGGATTACCATATATTTATTCAGGGCACACATCCACGCTAATTTAAGAACTAACAGAGAAAAAAGCAATCAGTACTATGTGCATTTATTAATTGGTATTTATGGCTTCTTGATATGTTGCAGTCTTCTACTTGAAACCGACAAGGATCGCAGAAAATTTCGACTACCTTAAAGATTTGTGGGTAATGTACTTTTATTTTCATTTTACAGGTAATTAGTTCGTTATGTTCTTATTTCAATGAGCGATTCATAATTTATAGATTATATGGCTTTCTTTTATTTTTCCAACAGAATCGCTACGGCCAAAATGTTTGTCGTTTCTGTCAATTAACTTAGCAGACGATGTTTTTGCATCGTTAGAGTTTCGAAGCTATGACCTACATGTATCGAACTGTATTTGGTTGAAATGGTCGGACAAGCATTAGGCGTGGACCCATTGGGCTTAGCATTGTCGTTGCTTTGCGCATAGCGACATCCAAAAATGACTTCCTATTAATAATAAATAATAAAATAAAAAGCCGGCAAAAGCAGCGCTGCGGAAAACGGAAACGCGTTCTGTGTCTCGGTTGTAGCTGATTCGGGGAGAAGTTAATTTACTCAAAAATACAATTATTCTACATAATCTACACATACATAGTAAATTTACATAACATAGTAAATAAGATGGTCCAACAATATATGGCAAAATTGATTAAAAAATCAAATACAATACTAGGCTTTTCTAATGGTCACTTCTTGGTCTCCTAACCTGACGAATAATTAAGGCATAAATTAGATGACTAACAATAGTGATATCGCAATAGTTTTCGAGCTTAAGTGGGGTACGTACCGATGACTTGGCCTACGCAGATGACTGAGGCAAATTTCAATTAAAAATACTGTCAGCGATGTAGGTATAGGCTCGGGATATGGTAATTTCTGAAATATGGAGCGGACCCTTTTCAATTTTCCAGCTAAGGGTCTTTCCAGAGGAAAGAAACATAAGGAAACCATATAAACGAAAATCAGTCAATTCAGATTACATACAGGACCCATGATGTTGTACACTGCTAATCACGTTATTGTATATCGAATCGGTGTGTTCTAATACTCCAACATTCTTTTTTTACCGTGCATCAACTGAGTTCAATTTGGCTTTCATTTCATATAGGTGAAGCCAGTTAATTCGTATTCACGGTACCTCAACGATCCGCTCGACCGATGTTCGTTGATCCATTCGTTTTCATTTCGTGATAATTTTGAATAAAGCCACGTGTGGACGTAATATAAAATTTTTCTATTTCGTCTACGTTACCACGAACCGAAGGCCGGAAAACTTTTATATTGGCGTTTTATAGACACCATTACCACGCGGCGTCAATACCAGTCTTCGGGTATTCGTGATCGTCGGTTATTGTTGATACATCGCTGGGAGCACCGCACAAACACTTCCGAGAAGACCACCTTCATACCGCTGTGACCTCAATTTGTTATACCATAGTTCTAAATCAACTGAATTCACCTACTTACCGATATCTTTATCGAACGCCAACCCTATCTAAAGTTGTTGCTTTGGCATTTCAAAGATCCTGTTATTTCGATCAGGCAGAAGGAAACCGGTGCTTGTTAAGGAGGCCTTATAATTTCGACTAAATAGCTGGTAGCGCTGTTCGATTAATGTTACTTTCGGTAGTCGTGGCGCTATGGCCACTCCAGGATCGAGTCAGTGCACCGCTCCATCGTACACCTATAGAAATATAGTTATAAATGCGCCTACAAATGAACACTCGCCCATTTGTTCAATCTACTTGACTTCTTAGATACACACCTATATCTTCTTCTCTTTCATTCGCATTCGTTTTTCGGCTTCGTTGTACTAAACCGTACCGGTTACTATAACAAAACCATCATCTGAACAGTAGAGTATCACCATACTCGCTGACAATGCTCCAGTTAGGCCAGGGTATATCTTCTACAAATAGAACAGTCGTTACTTACAGAACCATCGATACAATGTGGTGCAGTAGAGTCGCAGGCTATCCAATCGAGGACTTACTTCTTGAACAATACACCTGGCCGGAAGAAGCACTAAGTTGACGGTAAGCACAATCGAACAGCAGCTTTTTTTCTTGCTTCGATTCGCAAATGTATGTTTGTAGGTCACGAGTACCTCTAGGTGAAAATAAAATTAAAAGTGACAACGATGCGGCGCACTAGGACTCCGCACGCTTACATTTTCTAAACGATTTACAATTATGAAAATCGCATAATTATAAATCTATGAAAAAAACTAGCTGAGTTCTAAGGGTCTGCTTAACTTTTAACAGCCGCCTTGTATTAATTGTACCAAAGTTTTCAGATCCACGACAGATAAAACGTTTTTAGATTTCGGAGAACGCCGACTAAATCTAGGATTTATTGTGTCCTTTTGACTCCGTCTGCCCTAGATCAGATTAATGCAGAAAATAATATATACATTTAATTACATTACAATTAAGAGCTGACTAACTGCCAGAATATCAGAGTTTTTAGTGCGTACCTCTTACGGTAGGTTTCAGCTTACGACATTGTTGTTTTGAGTATTTTATAATCTATACTCTCTGATGTCTTTTAAGACGTACTGCTTTTTTGTTACACGCGTCATTTCTGCACTGGCACAAAAAAATGTATCCCAAGAAATCGGAATACTAGTATATGAAGACGACTGAAAGATCCATTTGAAGCTCACAGAAAATCCTTCGACATGTTATAGGTGACTGCTTCGTTCATTCGTTAGCGTGCGATGGCTATGCAATTTTGCAGTAAAAACATGTTAAGAAGTGGAGCTTCTAATGTTGGCTAGGTACAATGATATTGAGGCGCTATCGTACACCGTATCTACAGAACAACATGTCATCAATTCTTAGCATTTAAAATATTGCATTTTAACAAACGCTTTTGTCAACTAGTTCGCGCTGCTCGCATTGTTTTATAATAAAAAATAGAGATGTATAGCTTCAATTGTACAGAGCCACTTTCCTATCCCAACGACAAATCTGCGAAGTTTACAAATATAACAAGTCATAATTTCGAATTTACAGTCAATCATCTTCGTAGCAAATTTATTCTAGCTCGCGAAACCATTGAGTCAACCGAATGTATAAACAATGGATATGTGTGGAGAATGTGTAGGTAATTATCTGCATTCTTTGCTAATTAATCTATATTACACAATACGTTTTTCATGTGCCATACATTCTCGTTGGTATTAGTAAAGGTGTAAATCAATTGAATATATAATTCATACACTTACGTGCATAGTATAACCTAAACGACTTCTATTAGAGATGAAGGAAAATTGTTAGAGAGAACAAAGGGTTGTTTTCTCAATTGAATTTTTGTTCTCTGCATAATACTATTCTAATAAAACATCTCAGACGCTCATTTACATACACTAGCTAATGCTTATCGATGACTTATAGTCCTGTATGTCTGCCCCACCAGGCTGCGCCGACTACCAGCAGCAATGGTGTCACCGTTGAAATCAGCAGCCCGCTTAAATCGCGCTCAGTCGCACTATTCGTTCCTGCATTCTAGTACGTACGTTAGTCTATGTCAGCGTCACAGAGCTTCCATGTGATTTTACTACGCCACTATAACTACTATGTTTGATACGAGAAATAAACACGAGTGTTTACGCCCATTCAGAAAAAAGCTCTTATCCATTCGTCTTTTCTTTTTGTCCATCTATCTTTCCTGTGTTCTCTTCTTTAAGTCTACCGCTATGTCACAATGGTGGCTGGCGTTATCCTACTTCACATACGAATTTCATAGCCGCTTTGTATTGTGCTACTTTGCCCCTGCGTCCCGAATCGCCCCCGAGCATAGTCTGTCCTTCGTTTACCCGCCGGAACGATGCAGATCTAACGCAATCGTTGTCCGTCGAGGCAGCGGGGGGCAGCGACCCATCCGATGAGGCTATTCATCGATATCAACTTCGGCTATGAAATCGCTTCGCGTGGAGACATACATACAATGGCTGCCCTATAGGAACACAACAGAAAGCATATCGTGTGGACTAACCCCTCGATAAGGGGCTAGCAACTAGGGCTCCAAAGGACAAGTTATCGGCCTATTTTAGTCTCTGCCCCGGCCTACTTTGATCGGGGTTTGAGTGATCTGCGTTTTTCGCCTTGATACAAGTACTACTATAACTACGACTGTTGCTGATAGTTGTAATGTCACCGTAGATGTACAGTAACGGCAAGCTTTGGACAGCCGCTTCAGCCAGCCGCGGTATATCTATCCTGGATTCCACAGCCGTCGGTACGGTACGAACCGGTAGCCCAGGTGGGCTGGCGCCAGCCTGTCTGTGTTTGGCTAGAGTTAGGGCGATAGGCGGCGGCTGGCCAGCATGGGTCGAGAACGAAAAATCACTCGATTTACTCCTTACAGTTGCATTCGTCCCCGAAGAAGTTCCTTGGTCCGTAGAGATTGCCGAGGAGAGAAAGAAAGTAGGTAATGGGGCGTCTGTTGATGCGGCGAGCGAACGAAGGGGAGTAGAAAAATCACTTAGATCCGAAACAAATCTTCGCCAAGACAGAGATCAGCACAAAAATGCCTGAGAGCGCGCGGAATGATAATCATCTGGAGCAGAGTGGAGTCGACCCGCGTTGGAAGTATCTCGAGGTGCAACCGACTGGTACGATTTCTGCCGGCGGAAACGCCATCAATGAACGGGAATGAATCGTGAACTTTGCGGTTGTCGCTGACGACAAAGAAGTAAAATCAAAGTGGCAAAAACAACGTTAGTCAGATAAGAAGGAGAACTCTACTCCTAGGCTGAGACGTGCGGAGGATAAAGTCAGTTTGATTCATTGAAGTATATGTAACTATACTAACACTTTCCAGTGTACAAGCGAAGTTGGCTGGCTGGCTGGCTGCAAATTTCCAACGCGTTTGGCTAATGTCATCGACTTGTTTCATAAGCGTATGTGACGGCTTCTTATAGATTACTCGCAGAGAAAATAATTTTTTTGCCTATTCTCTATGATTCTAGTTAAAAAGATAAAGACACTTTCATCACTACATATCGAAAGAAAAAATAATATGTCCAGTTTCTGTAGCCTACGAGACCATAACTTGAATCTCTCTATTACGCTAGTCAGAATGCAACCGAAAGCAACGCTTGATTGATACGAACGCATGCTTCTCTCACATTTATTAAGGCAACGTGTAGCCATACACATTTGCTGAATACTACAGGCTGAATACCAATGATAATGCTAATAAAGAATAAATTAAAAACGAAAAATCTAGAAAGATGTTTCATTGCGAGCTTCGTAGATGCCTTTGCCTTCCGCATGCAATTTGAAAATTAACCCGTTAGTAGGCTTTTATGCAATAATTCGTAGAAAATTGCAGAGAAAACGGCATACGACAAAATCCATGTATCATTATTATTATTAACTCAACTTACAAATTTGATAGACAAGAACGTTAATTATGTAACTTAGCACAGGTGTATAAACAACTGCAGGTGGTACAGATCGGAATTTTTCTATCGGAGACCTCTAAAGGTTTCGCTGTTAGAGAACTAACTTATAATAGTAATAATATAATACTATCAGTAATATAATATAGATAAAATAAAGAGTATAAAATAAATAAGTAATAAATAAACTAAATTTAAATGAGTTGAATAGGACAAGAAATCGGAAATTTAATAAATATTGCCACTGATCAGAGATTTTTTTCAAGCAGCCCATAGCGAACGTTTCAGTAGTCTCTGCCTTTCCCACAGGCTTTCAATGGGTCATGCTCCTAGATCTCACTTTGAAAGCAATACAGTCAGTCCGCATGTGTATCGGACGTTGACGGCAGACATTTCTACAAATAAATTACCGTACTCAATTAAAAATCACAAAATTCCTTGTCATTTCCTTGACAAGAGAACTCTTTGCTTTCGTATAAAATCGCTACGGCTTTAAATATATCAACATTTGCATACGCAACGGCTATAATAGTTTTTCAATCATTTTGATTGATCTAATGTTATCTGCTTAGTCACGGTGATTGAGAAGGTCGCGCCCGGGGCACCGGCGTCAACATTATCGCCGATGTAAGGTGATTTCGTAGATGAGCTTGTACACTGCATGACAAAGCAATTCTGGGTGTGCATGTGGGAATTATGCAAATCAGTAGTACTAGAGTCACGACAATTGCGCTCTGCCTCTGTCTATCGAGGACAAATTTGATGCTGGTATGCAATTTCGAAAGTGAAATTAGGACTGAATAGCAACATAGTACGCTACTATACTTGCGTCAGTTCAATGTGGAATTACATACGTATAAGGCTACGTAATGAGAACGTTTTTTATAACTGCATTATCAACTTCATAAAATAAATCACGAATCGATCGCTAAAATGGCGGCACCCATGCAAAATTCCGGTGCTTGAGAAAATCAAATTTAGAAATAAAGCACCTGTCCTAACGAAACGATGAATTACCGGTACTAATGATACTGGTTAAAGTTGAAAGTTTTTCTATAACTTTCTGGCAGATACAATTTCGGAGAGTACGGTAATAGCGCGAGGAATACTCATATATTGCTCAATTCATTTTTGTTATGTCCGGAGGCCTAGGGCTATGTGCGGGAAGCTCTGCTCTTTTTTGTTTGCTGTTACCGATATGCCCATCGCACTGGCAGGATGCTAAAGCGAGCTTAGTCGTAAAGAGTAATCATGTCACATTTTCGGTTTATACAGTTCTTCAGATCGCAGAAGTCATAGAGCAGTCAATTTTTTAGTCAGGTTGCCTGTGATGTCACGAAAATCGAGGCAAATAGCGACCGTTCATCATAACAAACTAACTCTCGGGTATTCACAGCTTAAGACTGCCTTAGACAAAGGGATTGCCTTTACAGATAATTCAGAAAAACCTAGATGAGGTCTTTACACGATGCTAATCATTAGTCTTTAAAAAACATTTCCTAGGCCAGACAATAAAGTGGTTTCGTAATGGGTCCATATAATCGAATCAATTGATCCGGAGCTCTTACATTCGAGTCGGCACAACAGCAACATCTCAACAAGATCTATTGAATCAGTTTGCTATAACTATGATAAGCTATAATAACTAACCTGCTTACTCCTATTGCGGGAGTACTCAATACCCTCTGTATTACGCGTGTTAACGGTCGACGTCTCAAGTAGTTTTGGAGTAGTTACCGACAATCTAGCTAGAAATTGACTATTTCTCGAAATCAGCCACCAAATATTTGATTGTGCCCAAAGAAATCACGTTACGACCCGCAGCAACTAAAACGTTATTATAGTCCCGTGAAAATATTTTTAAATACATGGCACTAACGATAAGTTTACATATATATATAAAGTTGAAAAATCAAACGAGATCAATCAAAGTTCGTTCTTTATGATTACTAATGAGTATCAGCCAACTAATTTGAATAGACGTGAAGAAAAATGTATTTTTTTCTATGTACAGATGTCCCTGCTCCTTCAGTTACAACAGGTTCTCCCTTTCACAAAGTAATATTTGCCAAATGTTTTTTCGTTTCAGGTTGAAGCGATTAATTAATATTGGTCTCGTTGGGGTACATACTTCGTTTCAAGAATTGTTTTCGAATTGTTTTCTCGGCGATTTATTCTCAAGGTTCTACTCCGTAGACTTGCATAATTCACATTTAATATAGCAGCCAGCCAACTACTACTCCCAAAGCTTTACTATATCAAAAAAACTACGTCTTATAGCTAGATTTTTGCCACAAATTGTAACTAGATGCAAGTACCTTTTAGAAATTATTCAGGTTAAAGAACTCCCATTCGACAAGCTCTATACCATCAATAAAAAGAACTTCTACTGACCCATGAGTTCCTAAGCGTCCGTTTCTACCCTAAGGTCGTTGATATCAATTAGCTTACTCTGGCGTTTACGTGCTACAAATTGCGCAATGCATACATGAGCAATACAGTAAAAGGTATGTGCAACAATCGGCCAGCTTTTTGTCTCGACTGGCCACTGTTGTTCATCGGGGTTTCACAGCTGCTGGTCCGCCAAACAGGTGCCAAACGAAAGTTTCGTCGGGACGAAGGGAGGGGATTTGGTGGCTAGCTAGACAACTATGTCAGAATCTTTCTGGACTACTTTTTACCGCAAAGCATTACACCATACTCCCAGCCTAAACCACTTCAGCATTGTCCGATCGTCCGTTATCGTTTCAGGAGCTTACTGTCGTACAATACATCTATGCGCACTTGTATACTTACCACAATGCCACGGGCCACCGACGATAGACCACGATGACAATGCAGTAAGCTACGAACTACCGGTGTCCAAAACCTGCCCAAACGTTCCCAACTCACCTGTGACAATTGGTCTCCATGTAGAGCGATTACACTAGGATATACACCAACACCTAGGCTGCTGAAGCCTAATGCGTGACTCACTGCATTATATAGTATACACAATACACACAATAACACTTCGATTTCGAAATAAATGTATACAAAATACGCGCGAAGAACAACGGTTTTCATATATATACCTATATATACACATACACAACACTGCTAGTCAATATATAGCGATATGAAATCAAGTTCTCATGAGTTTTTATTTTGTTTTTGCCGTGATTAAATACCACGGCGGATCAACGACGAGGCGGATGCGAACTGTGCAGTGTTTGTTTCTTGTCAGTTCTGGCGACGACATAGACACTGCCTATGAGTACCTTGATAGTGCCTCTTGATGGTCAACAACTATAACACCAGGAGGAGAAAACTTGTGGCAGGAACTTCTGATGTTAATATTAATCTAATGCCATTAAACGAGAATATGAAGGAGTCGCTTTACGCCCGTTAACGATCTTAAAGCTGCTGCTGCTGTTGTCGTGATTGTTGTTGTTATCGTCGTCGTTCAAGTTCCGGGTTCTCTTAGCCGTCGTAACCTTCGGTAGCACTTAAGGGAGGGCCTCAGTCTGCGGGTCAAAGCAGGCCGTTCCCTGTCGGTGATGATCCGCCTACCTACTACTAACGAGGCTGTCGCCTTTCCATTGACTCTCCCCAATCCACTCAGTGACACACCCATTCACCCGTTCACCCACACATTCACATATATGAAAAGCTACGCCAACTGCCACTGCTAATAATAGTATCTTTAAGAGGAACACACGACTACTCGACACTAACGTGTTCCCTCTACCTTCACATGCATCTGTTCCGCTACAGAAAGTGATTACAGGAACGTATCAGCTTGTCTTTCTCCTTCTCTCGGTTAGTGTCAGCGTTAGTCCTAGCCTGTGTGTCGATCTGCATCAGCCCTTGTTGGTTGTTTTGCACATAAAAATCTCAATCCACAACTTTGTCTTTAAAAGCGATAGCTGCTCAAGTAGTCCTCTAAATACACAATGCACCAGCCACCCGCAAGGATCGACGCGGCGACGAGGACGGCGGTACCGAAGGCTGCAGTGATCTCAGCGCACTCGGTGCACCCGATAAGTCTGCTGGCCCAGTAGCAGTATCAGTATTCGTGCGAGTTCTGTATTGTAGACAGTTCTCATGCGTCGTGCACTACTAGACTCGTGCCGCCGTCGCTCCAGCAGCCTTCAATAGAACTTGCTCCGTCCCCATTCTCATGTCTCGAACCCCCTGCATTCTTTCTGTGGGTCGCCGTTTGTTCGGATGCTCCTTCTGCTTCAGGCCAACACTACTATCAGCAACAGTAACGATTGAGCAACATCGATTGAGACGAGACGATCAACAACGCGACCGCCGCGGCGCAGCGCTATCGGAGCAACACTCAGTGGCGAAGTTCTGAAGTGTTGCGGTGTGTGTCAGACGCCGCTACTTCCGCGTTCCACGCCTTTATATCAGCCTTCATAGCAGCCACCTAAATACACGGCAACATATAGGTGGGTAAAGCGTTGTTTCTCTTAACATACTCTAGCTCTTCATCAATCTCCCAGTCTGTCTCAGACATCACCACTTTCTCTCTTACCTAGATGCTATCATCATGCAGGGTAGACGGCCAGTCCAGGCTTAAGACTTGCAAGGACCTCTCGCGAAGTGGTGCCATCGACTGAGGGACCCAATTTTTTTGCAACTTTTTAGCCTTCTAGCCGCTGCCGCCTCCTCCGCTTCGCACTCCCCGTCCAACCGTACGACAGTTTTTTTCACTCAACTCTTATGTTTTTCGCCACTTTTTCCTACTGTTGCAATTTCTTAAACGGAACTGCAACCTGGTTGCATCTCTCCGTTGTTTATTTCTCGCGGGCTTCTGCTGCTTAAGGTCAAACGGTGTAGGGACAATAGTAGCTGACTATGTACGGCGGTACCAATCACTACTCACGGAAGTTAGTCGACCATTATAAGAAGAGAAATCAAATCATTTTGATCCCTTTCTTCCCAGCCACCATAGCCGTTGTTATTGTTATTACTGTCGTTATCGTCATCTGATTCGGGGTGGGGAAGATGGGAATACACATACTTCTGTCACTTCTATACCAGAAGCTATTTTAGATAAACGCGTGACAAGGGAACCAAAAAATAGATGCCTCAAACTACTTACTTGAAAATGACCCATTATGTCTCATATGGTAAACATATTGATACTTCAGTAACAGAAGCTCCTAATTTATCATTATTTTGAGACCTTCATATCGCTGCATAGAAGAAAGCCAACGCTGTGTAAAGCTGCTGGCCTTCAGTACGCAATAAGACGTACCGTAGGAACGGCGTACCGACGTAGGAACGGGACCTATTCGCTGTATAAGACGCCACAAATATCACATGGGTAAATGGACCGCAAAACAAGTATGGGAATGGAATGACTATATTGACTTACAGCGTAATAAGGAGTTCGTAACGATACGCCAAGCTCGACTTGATACCTACTCAGGATTATTATCTATCTATAATGAAAACGATATAATATGTAAATTATAAAATTATTATCAAGAAATTATTGAAATTTTCAGGTACGCTATATCTTCTGATGTTGGCCGAGGCTATCAGCCTCACGGTTTTTCCCTTACATCCGAAGAACAAACCACATCCAGGATCACGTCTAGTCCGTTACTTCAATTCTTTTGTGGGATTTTAATGGTTACCTAAAGATATAGAAAAAGCTTTTACATGTCAACAAACTTTCCTCTTTTACGAGATTCTACTCGAAAAAATTATCTACATTTGCTTAAAATAGCATTCTGTGTAACAGAAACGCATTCTAAGAAATTGCACAAAAACGAATACTCACCGTCTTCATTTCTAGATACTCGTATATACCGGCGTAACCTCTGCAAAAAAAATCTTCCTGTCAGAAACTAATTGACCAAATATTTCGATTTCAGCTAATTGACGAAGCATGTACGTGTACGCATACGATAAAGGTACAAAAATTATTAAGCCATGCTTACAATTCACGTCCGTGACCGCTTTGCTTAAAACCACCGAACGGTGTTTGAACCATGGTAGCATCATAGCAGTTAACCCAAACGGAACCAGCTTCGATACCCTAAAAATGAGACAAAATTCTCTATGAAAACGATATGGTGTTTGCGATTACGTTATAATATGTTGATTAGCTGCAATGCGAATAAAGTGAAGGAACGGTCTTAATTTAGTCGATATACCTGAGCAAAGGTGAGAGCACGATCAATGCTTTTGGTGATCACACCGGAACCTAACCCATATTGTGTATCGTTGCAGCGCCTCAAAACCTCTTCCATTGTCGAGAACTTCAGGATCTGCTGAACCGGTCCAAAGATCTCTTCGCGAGCTTAAATAATAAAAGTAGTGATGCAAGCAACGGCAAAAGTGAAATTCTGCGCTTTCTTCCATGTATTGCGATAGCTGCTCTTTCTCTTGCTTCGTTAATCGGTTACAAAATTTTTCGGGTGTCTCAAAGCCTAGTTGCGCTTTAGAGTTTAAGAGAATTAGAAACAAGAAAAATCAGCACTGACCCCAAAGCTCACTAGTTACTAACCAATGCGCATATGGTCTTCAACATCTGCGAATACTGTTGGCTGAATGAAAAAGCCTTTGCCAGGGAGACGAGCTCCTCCAGCGACGCAACGCGCGCCCTCCTGTTTGCCACTCTCGATTAGAGCCATGATCCTTTTAGTCTTCCGGATATCGATCTGCAAGATAAAGTTAATGACGCAAACCTCGGCCAACCCGCAGATCAGATAATACTGATGCTTAACATTTAGATATGTAGACGCTAAAATTTGTACATAGTGCATAATAAGCTTACATAATGCATAATGCTTAATAATACTACACTGGGAACAGGATTAGATGAATGACGATACCTGTGGGCCCTGAACTACGTCTTTGTCGAACGGAGAGCCAACTTTGCGTTTCTCTGCTAGTTCCTGAGCCTTCTTGACAAACGCATCGTAGATACCTGTAATCGTACATAATATGAACTTATCAGAATTGCCTTCTACCGAAAACTTTTCCGCCCATTAGTTTGAACATTCTGCCTAGATAGAGCCTAGACAACTATCTGTCATCTATCTCGTAGCTCATGTATGTAGCTGACCTTCCTGAACGAAGGTCCTTGTGCCTGCACAACAGCATTGCCCCATATTGGCAAACACAGCGGCGTGTGCAATGTTGGCGGCGTCTTCAACATCGGCATCATCAAAAATTACCAAAGGACTTTTCCCACCCAGCTCCAACGTTACCTGATGAAACCGAATAAAAACACTAAAATTTAGCATTGGTCGCTATGGATGAGTTGGATTAAACTATATAATTACCATTAAACCATAATTCAATAGTATATATATATACATACACAATGCGTTAGTGCAAGATTATATAGTGATGTTGCATTACACGATGTTCGTTCTTTTCATCCATTGTACCGTTGTGATCGCTAGCACTCGTATATGATACTCACTCTTTTTAAATTTGATTCTCCAGACGCCTTCTGAATCAGTCGCCCAACGACAGTAGAACCCGTAAAGGCAACCTAAGAATGATGCAATAAACATAAGTCTGTTGCACCGCGTATAAGTAAAAAAGTATGAACCGTCAAGGAAAAACAACCTCGTTGAGAAAATATAAGAAATATAAGAGTGCTCTGATGGCTATTGATGTATCGTTTTACCTTAGCGATGTCATTATGATGGGAAATTGCAGCACCAGCAGTAGGACCGAATCCGGGTACTATGTTGACGACTCCGGCAGGAAAACCGGCCTCCTATAAAATTATGTTTATTGTAAAAATGCTGTAAAATCGTAGACGTTTTATCGTTCCAGGATGAAATTACCCGGAATTTGAAATCAGATGAGAAAAGTAAATCTAAAGGATATCTAGTATAGTACCTTAATGAGGGCCCCTATATAAAGGGCGGTCAAGGGTGTCTGCTCAGCCGGCTTTAGGACACAACAATTTCCACTAGCGAGCGCCGGTGCCAGTTTCCAAGAAACCATCAGGACCGGGTAGTTCCACTGCAGTTCAGGAAATAGCAACACGTTATAAGCAAGACGCAGTGTACACTTGTTACTAACAAGTACACGTATGGAATGTATGACGAGTTTGCGCGAGACATTAAGTTAAGAGATGGGATTTTCGTACTTACTGGAATAATTTGGCCACAAACACCAATGGGCTCAAGACGAGTCATGCTCATAACAAGTCCATCTGCAACATCCAGAAATTTGTGTAGAGCATTTATCTGGTCTCTAAAGATTTAACGTAATTATTTGAATTCTTATGCACAAACCTAAATTTTAATTTATCCATGCCAAGATACTACACAATCACTTTAAAATAGGTCCAAAACCCCTTTTTTTACCTGCAGGGATTGTCTTTCCGTGAATCTTGTCACTCCAACCGGCATAGTATCTAAACGTGGCAATTGCGCAGTCCATATCGAAATCTGCCTCCGCATATGGCTTACCGTTATCGAGTACCTCCAAATTCTGAAAATGTAAGACAAATGCTCGGAATGGGTACCAAAATTTATTATTTCGAGTTCTTTAATAACACATTTCGTCAGGCCTTGTATAAACAAAAGGCCTGTATAATAAAATACTTACAGTCAAATAAACCTTATCACGAGCGATTAGGTCGGCAAGCTTGTTGAGGAGAACTCCGCGTTGCGATGCATCCATTGTTCTAATTCGCATAGTAAAGGCAAGAAAGTCATTAACAAGACGAGATCGCTTCATTGTACTACGTGAAGTGCTATTCTAATATTATTTTTGTTAGAATTAAAGGGAAATCATTGAATGTTGCTCCAGTCTGTGTTTGCTAAAAACACTTGGTAGCGCGATCAAAGTTACATATAAGCTAGCATAATGTCCATGTCAATCTTCTACATATCACATTGACCTACTGCAAATATTTTAGACACGAAAATACATCCTGGTGTTCGTTCATTCATTCATTCGACAAGTTGCAATTATTGAATTCGACTATACCTCCAGGGGCTACCGCGTTTGAATGCGGCCTTCGCAGCCGCAACGGCACGATCGACATCGGCGGCATCGGCCTCACTGACCTGCAATAAGCACCAAAGACACACGCAATCACCTGCCATGCTCATGCTATACCGACAATTTGTACTCACTGACCACGAAGAAAATACCCACGCTGTGTGCAGTACTTCTACATTCCTATACGGATATATAGTTTCGTCTGCAAATATCTGTAGCGTTTAGCAAGATAAATACCGCCCAAAGTTTTCGCTTATTTTTTTTTGTTTATTTATTCGATCTATCAAGATTTCTGATGTTTGCAAAAGAATGCTTTATTGCCCCCGGCGCGAAGAAACAAGTTTCTTCGTCCGATACGACTATATTCTACTTCAACCATGACACTGCAAAGGACACCGCCTGACGTAATAATGACAGGACACACAGGCGAGCACTTCTTCCACCAATACGATCCAACATAGTATTATTCTGACAGCTAATGATGTTCCACAAGGCCAGTCTAGAATTTAGAACCGCCCATAGTTGCAAAAATGCGCGCAAAAAATTTCTATTAAGGGTTACTTTTCTCACAACGAATTTTCCCAATAATCAAATCCAGAGAGCAAATAGAAGAAGAATCTAACAAATTATCACAGATATTTTGTAACAACATATGTGTACACAGTAAGTAGTGAAAGATGTATTTGGATCAAATTTGGTATGTATCCAACCTCGGTAATGAGCTCCTCGTTGGTCGGGTTAAAAGTACTAAACCTTTTCCCCGAAACAGAGTCGACAAATTCATTGTTGATGAACAACTGTAACCATTTGCAATATAAACATACATTTAATTAGAGAAATTTAATAAATGTAGAAGTTCTCTCAATATGTGTACGTTGCATGTAATCGACGGTTATCTGTATCTGACGTGAGCGCTCTTCATTATAATCATCGTGCACGCGTGGCACAGAAATTCGATTTTGATGAAATAAGGAACAAATGTACTACATATAAGCTTATCTATCGTTTGCGCTAAATATTGTGTATATTATTAGCACACGTCGAAATAAAGCTTAAATCAATGATATGTACCTTGTTCTACTAACCTGGGTATACTTAATGGTGGGCTTTACCATTGTAGACGATTCGTCGGTCCCGGTCATTGTAGATAATTCCTTAGTTCAATCTATAATATTTTTTGTAAAGTCGCGATTTAGAAAAATATTTACAATATCAAAACACTTCTCAAAAATGCCTTTCTGTTATTAATAATAGCGAAAGCGATAATCAGAGTCGGTAACGCACAAAATCCAGTCAGTGACCTGTCATGTCAGGCCATTTAAAAAAATCCTTAAAAAAGAAAATCCATCTGATACATCCAACTAGATGTATATATTCACGTATGCAATGTCGTACCATGACGTCTATATCTAAGTGTTCTTGTACATCCCGCCTCCTGATCCCCTGGCACTCACAGAGACAGTGAAAGAGCTCTCCTCCCGCACGACATCACGGCAGCTTTGTTTTAGTCGATAGCATGAGAATATCTATGATACTGCTATTTATTTTCTATTGTTTTATCTGTTTATTGATTTTATATAGGGCGAACAATTTAGAATCTAGCAAATTAATTCTACGTTTAGCTTGACATGTGTGGCAGGTTCTTATTCGATCAAACAATGACTTGGTGACAGCTAAAAAATGATAGAAATAGTACGTTATGTCTAGAGTTAAGGCTATGATTAATGGAGACTATAGTAATAGACTACGCTGCGAAGTGTAAATTTCACGGTAACTGTTAGAAGCGCCATATAAGTTCTCATCGTAACACCTCCATATTGGTCCTTCATAGGAGAAAACTTATGCGTCAAGCCAGATCAAAGATTGGATCTAACATAACACGAATGCATCTAAATGCAAAGACTTACATCTTAGACCAGAAAGCAATTCATTCAAAAAAGGGTCAATCTATTCCACCAACAGCTGGTAAACTGCAATTATGCTCGACTAAGCGTAATCGGTGACTAAATATAAACGGTTTTCATAAGGCAGACATTGAAGGCAGAATACATATTCCCACTCTTATTTTCTCGATTAGTAACGGTAAGTGTTCATCTATCCAATTTGGCAGTGCATTATTATAGTTCATACACTGTTATGTGAGCCATAAAAAACTCATCCAAAGTCAAGCACGTCAAGCCAAAATACGTCTATCAATAATCTGTATTTGTATATAGAACTCTGCAATCCTACGCGTCTCGGTGTTACCTAAACCTGTTTTCTCCAACCAGGCCAATGACGGCGTGTGTCAATCGTGCACTTTGGTGGACATAAAAAGTCGTCTATATCGCCGGAAAGCGCCATAAAACTACCACGTTAAGGTCACGCGAATAGTATGAAATACATTGAGCGATTCACACGATTGAAACACATTCGCGATCACTCGTGACCATTTCATGGTCACGAGTGATCGCGAAAATTCCCAAGCACATGTCACTTCTGTATCTCAGGTCATCTGCATACTCATCGTAAATGAGACTATAACTTCATATATAAAACAAGTTTGGCTAAACAGAATCTGCTCTCTAATAAATAACTAATGGTATTTACCAACCTACCGATCTGAATAAATTTTGAATTAAAAATGCTCCGGAATCAACTCTACTTACATGACATACTACAGTATATCATTTCGGTAAGTTAGTCATTACAGGGAAAAGAAAACGATACATTACTTCAAAACTACAGAGCGAAGAACTATTACCCGTGCCTGCTGTCACAAACGCATACACAATCGCGTTTGTCTGCCGGAATAGATTATAGATTGAAAGGTGCCTATCATTACCGGATACCGCTTACCGTCAAATGTGAACAGGGAAACGCCACGCAATCACTAACGCTAACTGACAGTAGAATATAGGACAGAAATCAACGATTGGCATCAAAAATCATCTCTAGAAGCCACAAGTAGTTGACTAATTCGTGTACGCACCACAGGCAATCGAACAGCACCAGCTCGTCTGCTGTAGTTGCTAAGTCATGAGATTGTTTTCATTCGATAATTTATATAACCAGAGAAAGGGACATTCACCCTCACCCAGATACAACAAGAGGGTCACCTTCGCAAAGATCACTCAGTTTAGGATCATAGTGAACATAAACAGCATAAAGAAATTGTAATCGACGCAGGTACTCTTTTGACTGTTAACTCTGTCCAGCCACGTAGAATTGGCAAATAATACAGAGACTTGATATTTAGTTTCATTAGCTAAATGGAAATCTTTCATTAATGTATAGGCTAAATTTATGAGGCAACTTTTCGCTCGGAGGCCGCGATCTATTAAAAAATGACAGGATTTGCTGTACTGTAACCCTATCCCTGCTGTAAGGTTAAAAATTATATCTGGGGTAATTTTAAGCTTCCATTAAAGTTCCGACTACTAACAACCCGCTGCGAAAAACAGAACAATACTCATTGTATTTTATTTACTATTCAGCGTTAAGTGCCTCTACTCTACACTTCTTCACATAAACCCTATGTAATAATGGCAGTGATCAGTGAATTTTTTTGACGTTTAAAATAGTAGGCACTACTCGTTATATATACTTATTTATATATATATAAGTAAGTATATATATAAGTAAGCAGACTGGCTTAGCTTTATCGTTGGTTGGCGAAAACGAGCACTTCACAGCCACTTGCTCTGTATTTATACACTTGCAGATATGTACTTATATATATTATTATATATTAATATTACAATATTTGATCTATTTAAACTTAACCACGCTGACCTAGCGAATGTTCTCAGTTGCAACTGGTGTACTTTACCAAGAAGCATAGGTACCTACCTCTGACGTCCCCTGAAGTACCTTACGCGGGTCCGTGCTTTTCTGCGCTTCGGTGATCGTAATGACACTTTGGTTGGCAATTTTTTCGAGTCAAAACGGTACAGGGTGCTTTATCTGAGCAAGAAGCCGCGAAATTGAATTTTTTTTGCACTACACTGATTACTAGCACCCATTAATTAATGGCTTGCCCATTGATGTGCCTTGAGGTTGACATTATAAAATTTTCGGTGGTAGAAATAATGAGCCGACAAGTACCTCAGACTGCACTAGGGTAGTCAATTCCGATTGTGCGCACATAATACGAAGTTAACACAGTTCACTTGGAAAGTTTTACCAGTAAGTGCCATGTTCCTATAGAATATAGTCTCTCAGCGCAGGGACTAACTCAGCATAGGTTATGTTCGGTGCGGCAAAAAAGTTAGCAAAAGGTGCTTTTTCTAATGCTATATAAGAATACACCAAAATTTTACAACCTGCTCATCTAACAGAGATTGCTAGGCATTAGTAAACTCACTGAGCGTCTTATCGCGACTGAAGAACTGTTGTGGTAAGCTGGCCTCCTCCGGAAAATGCTCGCACAATTTTTTCTTGTACGTTTGCCAGGTATTGATATCCCAGTCGAACACGGGCCACTCCTCCGTTTTCCTGAGCATTTTATACTCATTCCACTGCTTAAATATCCTCTTTTCGAATCCCACAAAACGGTGACTCCCAATTAACCAGCCGTTCGAACAACTCCTCCCGACTCTGATCATTTCGCCATATTGTTCACGCCGGTTTATAGGTGTCATGATGACAACGTGCATGGCTATGTATGGAAGGTCACAGTTTCATGTGGTTGTGATCCGATAAATTAGAGGCGATCGAAGGTGGAACATTAGGCTATTTTGGCTAGAGCGTCGGTTTTACGAAGCCACCTAATCTGCTACCAGCATCTCAGTTTGATTAAAATATCTTTATTGATTAACTAACAAAATTAGAAAATCCTTATGATTTATATATCTCAGCATTGACATATAGTTGGAGCTTTAAAAAAGATTATGGTGAAATATAGACATATAACCGTTTTTCTAGCTTTCGATAAATGGCTACGGTGAAATAGCCAGCCCTAAGTTACTTATTGTTTTTTTACATATTCGTTTTTCAATTCTTTCTTTAGAGCGAATCTCTACCCTTCATTAACGAATTGCCTCCACTTAATCAAGTTGGTAGTTATTAACCCAGAGCACAATGGAACCTTCCCTTAATGGTGGGACCCAATTCTGCTTGGATCCATGGCTATCAGCGCATGTTATCATTCCTAGCTTCATTCTTTACTAAGTCGAGTCTTCACTTAATGGTATTATGGACTCTTCTTTATTATACATACAAAGACTTCACTCGTACGCGTATTTGAAGCCAATCTTATCTTACATGGCATTTATGAAACGTTTGATTCCAAAATGATACCTATTGAAGGTCGTAAAATGTCGGCCATTTTTTCCCAAACCTGTTCCATATAAAAAAAAAAACTTATGTGTTTATTAGCAAACTGCGACAAAGTCACGAAAAAGCTGCTGCACAATTAACTATCTCATTGTGCGCTACTAAATGGCGCCGTCGGCATTTGATCTGAGAACTAATTGCAACTGTTTTGCTACTAACGTACAATAGAGAGCTTCCTAGACGGCATAAAACTGAGATGAACTTAGCTGGAACAAAACGTCTTCAAAGTTTATTTAAACATTTCTAGCCTCATAGCGTTAAACTGATGACAGTTAGGCTTAGACATTAGTTATGACATTAAGGCATTGTAGTTCCGTGGCTCTGCGTTTGTCCAGATGTTGTTTATTGCCATCCAGTATAAATGAGTGCCGTTCAATGAAATTTATGAAGGCGACGAACGCATTTCTAACTCATAAATAAAAGGGTAAACTAGTTCCATTGGTTCATCAGTAGTAGTTCGCCACCTGTATGTATGCAGCCTGCTTTAAGGACAGTGTTTCCGCGCCATCCGCAGCAGACGATTTGGCCACTTCGCGTAAAGGCGGTTGTTGGTAAACAATCACGAGCTCGACCTAGTTAAATGTTTGATTCGCCCAAGGTACACGTTATTCGAATATTGACAAAACTGCACGACTGCGTTTAGTGAACTTACGTAAAATACTTGACGGTTGGGCTATTGTTATGCTTACACACGAGAACGTGTGTTATAGCTGTCTGGTTAAAGTTGGTGAGCTATGATGGTTTTTTGATAGTACCCCAGAAAGCTTATTTACTTAATACACACACAGGGTCATTCGGTGAAAATGTACATTGGTGCAGTGTAGCTTGCCTGTGAAAATTTAAATGCCACTGAATTTTTGTCATACTGGTGTTGATAGAGTGCTTTAATGACTTTCGGGTTAGATAGCGGTTACAGGTAACAGTTTGACGGAGAATAGGCCGGAGAATGAAGTGTGTTCGGTGCGTGGCAAATACTCATATATTCGGTCAGTCACACACCTCTGTCGGGTAGGTTCCTGATAATCTACCGAGTCTTTCATCATACAGAGAACGGAAATTATCCAGAATTGATACTGTGAGAAGTTAAGCATGGCATTTCTTAGTGCATAGCATGGAAAAATGCAGAAGCCAATATCTGATGTAGAAAATCAATTGAATATGGAACGTAAAGAGGGAGGGGAAGGGGGGTGGGGTGAAAACTACTCTATTTTTTATTATTAGACGATAGTTTGGTCACAGGTTTAGCGGCAATACATAATATGCCATAAATGTTTGAGAAATTAGAAAACAAGTGAATTAAGTGAACTCATCTGTTGCTTAGTAATAGAATCTGGCTACTAAGTTCGCGGTCGCTCGTTATAATAAATTTTAGTATAGCTTGTATTGTCTTATTTGAGCGTATACTTCGTAGCGTTTTCTGCTACTCAATAAGGACGACATTTTTGTTTCTTACCTTGTTCGATGTGAGTTTAGGACAGAGAGATTCATAAAGATACGTAATTTTAACCAAATCTAGATCAATAGTTTTTTTGGGCCTAGCAAAGCCAAAAAGTTTATTACGCTTTTTACCATTTATGTAATGGCCGTGAATTTAGTCTTACCGTTATTATGATCTTGCCTTACGTATTCAAAACTCCGCATATTTTTATATGACAATAGAAAAGCGGTCTCATGCACTAATAATTATGAACAGCAATAATATTTCATATATGCGTTCTATTTCAATCTTATGTTTATTTGGTTGCTCGTCCCAGAGAACGAAGTCTTCGTGCTAGACTAAAATGAGGCCCGTTTTCTTGATGTGGGATCCTGGTCGAGCTTTCCTTCTGATTATCTCTGCCGTGAACATCTGCGTCGGGCAGCTATCAATTAAAAACTCTCTCTTAGCCGAACGAAAAGACTGGATAGAGCCGAGCAGTCGATTCGAGAACACAGCGATCGATGAGATTCGTACGGAGGAAGCAAGGCAACATGAACAAGCGGATGAACTCACGCCAGATAGGCATGCGATTCTTGACTCAGGTATTTTACATAAACTTCTGAATTCGCTATTTATTCCTTTAATGAGACGACAGAATGTTTAATAAAAAAGAGTGGACATATGAATTCGATCCAACTGCATCTGCTATAATTGTTGTCTATAGACTGTTCATGTGTTCGTCAGCCACGCCGAATTGCGTACCGTATCATGCTTTAATTTTTTTGTAGCACGTTATACACGCAAAATACGGGGCTCTTATGTTCTGCTTTCGGGAACACTTCTAATAGCATGCGGATTAAAATTCACTGGTCTTGTTACATATAGATACGTATAGATACCTCAGAGGTATTTCACTTATCATTGATTCATATAACGATTATTCCTCCGATAATGTAACGTAACACGTGTCTGTTTTAAAATATGAGTTAGCTTGCATATCATCTCCGTATGTATATGTGTATGTACTTACACGACGTCCGGCCGTGAACACACTTTGTTTCTTGCTGGGTGTAGTAGTCTAAGAACTGAACGCAAGATTCGAAACGTTAGTGCTAGACATTACGTAGTGCACCCACTCCTCCTAATTAAAATGTGATCCCAAATGTTATTTATTCGCGACCACTTAACTTCAGGAAGTAAAAAGTGCAGTAAGTTGTTGGGGACGTGCGAACAGTCGTTGTCAAAATGCGAGGCACAGCTGTTACGATATCAGATGCTGGCAGATGCAACAAATAACGGAAAGCTCTCCACTGATATGGTGTACCTTCGCAAATGGGTGAAGAATATAATGACACGCCTCGAGGGTGGCTACCTTGATCAAAAAGGTTAATGTTAGCAGGATTATTTTGAAATCAGGTGTTTGATCACATTGACCTCATTAGGCCAGTGCCAATGATAAGTTCTATCTACCAACTAAATATCTGTCGTAGAATTTTCCTTTGAATTGAATTATCAGTTAACGAAACTTCTAAAAACAAACTCTAAAAGTAAGCGTGTAATTAAATGCTGTTATTAAAATCGATTCCGAAGCCATCAGTACACTACAATATTTAGCAGTAGAACAAATCTGTGAAGTAAGTAGGAAATATTCAGAAAAAACTACCTGTAATAGTAGGAGTTTAAAACGTCACCTTACAACATTTAGCACATTCTAGTTCTTTAGCAACCTACTGAATGTTTCTCTTATCTGAATATATAGATACTCCCGGACGGTTGGAGCTCGCGTTTAGCACGGAGGATATTGAAGAGCTTCGCATATTGCTCAATAAACTGGACGCTCGATCTGCAAGTCGGATCAGTATAAAAATGAATGATATCGTGACCAATGCTGAGGTCTTCTTTGACTACCGGGAAAGACCATCGAAGGTTCAGCTGTTCTGGCTAAGTGTTATGTGCGTTGAAAGCTCTGTGCATAAGCATGCTTAAATGCTTGTTATATGAATTTTAGTGAATTGTAGATATGTCACCCCGGTGCTTATTTTCTAACATTTTTTGATTTCCAGTGGTCTCTTATCGGAAGTGAATCTTCTCGTTGTAATACGCGTTACAATTCTACTGCTTGGAGTCCTCTTTATTGTGATTATATTGATCTCGCGCTCTCGAGTCGTCACCTATGGTTACAGTTTGTTCTTCCTCTTCTGGTTATCCTACTTCTGGTACTGGCAGAACCTGCTAAGGCATTCCGAGGCTGACCTCTACCTACTGAATCAAAAAAGCCCTTGTGAGGACGGTAGGGCATGGTACAATCCGTCGAGGTATGTCAGCTCGGACTCAAAAGAGTGTCAGGAGTATATGCGTAGGCAATTTACGCCCGCCCACATGGAATATTCGCCCATAGAGGTAAATACCAGACTAGCCATTTTGATAATTATTATAATTTTTGCATAAAAATGTCGGGCTCTATTAAATGTATATATATAAAGCTGCTTCATATTCCAATGATGGTTATGCACAAGCAAACATACTTAGTATGTTAAGCGGTTCCTATCTTTAAATTTGGTATTAAAACGTTTCTTTGATGTTATATGCATGTTTGTTTTCATAGGTCTTGCTTCGTATGGTCTCTGAATACTCATCAAAGGCTATCTCGTTGGGCATTGCAAATCTGTTCTCAGGGCTGGGTGTGGCAATTAGAGAATTTGCCGATCAACAATCTTGGTTTAGCGTCGTGCCAGCCTTTATATTACTGTTTGGAGTACTTGTAATTTTAGCTTTTAAGGTAAATTACGTCCTAGCCGTTAACCACAATTATTGCAAAATAAGACTAAATGCAAAAATAGCACATTCACATACTAAAGATAGTAGTCCCTACATTGTTATCCTAAAATTCTAGCTAGCTGTTAATCTTCTTACTATGGTGTTTTATGTAGGCATCAGGGATGTCACTGTCTTTTTTTGGGTTACGGATGGAAGCCTCTGGAAAGAGAGGAACGCAGCATTTTGAGCCGATAGTAATGCAGCGAGGAAATTATATCCATGAGATGTCAGAACAATTCGATCTAGATGAAAGCAGAGGAGGTTTTCCGGAGTCGAGAATGCGTTCGCAATATGTGAAAGATTTACATGCAGCGCAGCTTTCGCGAAACACGTTACAACAGTACAGGTAGTACAAGTACATCGTGAAAACTACAGGAAACTATAAGCTTTATTCAAATATTGAACATATTGAGAAAAAAAAAAACTAATAACAAATCAAAAATGCGATTTAGAACACAAACCTTTTATTTAATGACGATAAAACTGTATGACTGTTTGTTGTTCAGATTTTGCAGTGCATTATTTGACCGAATTTTTGAATCTGTGTGGATTGGATACTTCTTGTGCTGGAATGCTTCGAATAGCTCTTGCATTGTATTTAGCGAAGCATCTCACTACAGAATATATCAATATGTTCTGATTGCTCTAATTTTTAATACATTAGGTTGTCTTCAATGCCTGCCACTTTGCGGCTTATTGAGATGCCACCGCCCTCAGATACCACTGTTCTTAAAAGAGCACGGCAGGACCGTGTACGTCCCTCTCAACGACTTCCAGTGAACAGAGCTAGAAGTGATTGCAGTCCTAGCAAACACGACGATGAAGACCAATACGATACAGCGAACGATGATAACGATTCTTGAGGATACCCACTGTCGTTTGTATAATTTTCATTTTGTGCTATAGACCCTTCTGTTTATTTAAGATACATAGCTAGCTACTACTGAGGCAGAGTAATGTATTTCAATTATATATCATAGTCGCACTCTCCTTGTCATGCCGTACATAAAACTTGACTGTACATCGTAAATTGTCCATACAAATATTCAGGTTTTTTAATATTTTTTCGTTTAATTTTTTTATAATTTTTTATAATTTTATCAAGAATTTTAATAAATTCTATTAAATTTTCCATTATTAGAGGCGACTATACGTAACCCGATAGTACTAAAAAAATTCTTACGTTTGCTCGATGCAGAAGCAAAAAGGAATTTGTAAGCGTATTTGATTTTAGGCCATGCATATGCTTCATTAGCTCTTCCTTATTCCGTACGCATGAGAAATTGCTGCGCCCCTGTGGCTGAACTTGTTGTATCTTAATGGTTATGTAAAGCTCTATTACATCAATGTTTTTTTAAATCTGAAGGATACTTTTTTTAGTTTTGTTGTAGATACGACGTTTTCGCAAGGCTTGTGAATAGATTTATTAACATTTTTTTAGAGACTTCACCTAGCTTTCTTAGGAATAATAAGCCTGTTTAGCTTGTGATCTAGTTATTTTTAAACTTGACCCAACGTACTTGAAACCGCTATTTTGTATATCGGTTATATGAACGGCCTTGTATGTAAGTGCGCAACATTTACACATGTTCTATGCGTTAGGTCTTTAATGAAAATAAAGTACCAGTGTTGAATTTAATACTTTGAAGCCTGTTATGTTCGACTGATTCAGCTAATTCTCAAGCGAACACATCGTAGTACTTACTCTACTGCTATGTCTAACACGGCCGGAAGACTATTACATTTAAATCAAGTGTTCGTTTTTGATGTTTGTTTCCTTCCTTTCGGTAATGTCGTTTTTCAATGACGGGTCAAAATGTCATGCTGCTTTTCCTAGAAAACAGCACCAAAAGAAATTCGAATTTGCAACACCTACAATACGATAAATGCGTGGCCTGATGCTTGTGGGTCAAACATGAAATAGTTTTATTCAACATAGACCCTGTTTAAACATTCTTAATGGTACCACAATTTTTTCATATTACCTTTATCGCCTTTCGTTGACGTCTCTTTACTTTTAAATCATATACAGATGAACAGACAAGAACCTTCGTATGAGTCGAAGTTCATATGAATCTTCAAATCAAAAATGGACTATAGTTTTTCTCGATAATGACTACATGACAAATTATTGTTTATTCTTACGTAGTGACAACTTTAACAAATAGACTGCCATTAGAAAAAATTACGAAATGATTTTATTGAGAGAATTTGAGATGGGCTCCCTTACATTCTACCTCCGAATATGTTGTTGCAGACAACGTACCTTGCCCAGTTTGATAGATTAAATTCAACTCTAACTTATAGAATGTTCTATAATTCTTTCTTCGTGTGGGTTTCTGCACTGTTTTAGCGGTATATATGGGTAATCCTATTAGTAAACATAATTCCTGTACTTTAGAGCCACATGGATATTTAATTTAAATATATAATTTTACAAAACAGAATCTTTGTTTCTAAAAACAAACCATAATTGATAGAGAGACTTTTAGGGATCGGTTTGCGGTGAAAATCAAATCAACATTCTCATTACATTATCTCTGGTCTCTTGATTCAGAGAAAAGGCGCTGAAACACTTGTGACCATAGTTCCTCAAATTTCAGGTGCAACCGGGAATTTGGTTGTAGATGGTTAGCAAGATATCGGTGCGGCTGAGGTCTCCCCTTAAGGTCCTTGTAGAAATTGTGCAGAAACACACCATTCATTACCTGCAAGATTGTGAGCGAAATGCGTACAATAATACAACAAACGTTCTTGTCGCTCGTATGCAAGTATATTAAGATATTTTGATCTGATTTACCCTTTGAAAAAGGTTTCCACGAAAATTTTGCCACCCACTAGATGCAGGACCCATTCCGGGAGAAATTAGCGATTACAACGAAATAATCCGCAACTCAAATATGCTGTCGATGCGATGTAATGAATAAACTGCTGGTGTCGAGTTATCATTTTTGATTTAGGCTTCAGAAAATTAATGGTGTGATTTTTACATACTGCTTAACCTTTAATTTAGTTGGTGTACGAAGTCTGTTATTCCCGCCATCTGCACCCAAAAACTACTCGTATGAGAGAGTAGCATTTATGTCTATTTTGCTTTGCCCTAAAAAATGAATTTGTTCACCGCATATCGGTAAGTTTTTATGCCAGTTAGCTATAGGACGCTTTCGGCCCACAATAATACTGATTAGCCGAAACCAATTATACAACCGCAATCGAACCAATTAGCCGTAGCAATGTTGTGGCTCTTGAACAGTTGCCGTTGTATTGTCCGTTAAATTGAGCTTAGTCACGCCGAGTCAGATATCTTTATACGAGAGTGAGCACAAAGTAGTTATATACAGCGCGTTACTCACCAAATGAAATTTAAAATTAATCTTGTGGGCGCCAAGCACTTGATTTAGCGCGTGGATTGTATCCAAACATCCTGTGTACTGATTTGTCTTGTAGATAAGATCGAGATCAAGGCGTTGCCCGGATGTCGGTTTCTTATAGAAACTAGAAAAACCTTGTACCTAAATCAAAGTTAAATCATTTAGTTCAACATTATATATATATATATATATATATTATACTCAGTATATCCTAATCCGGTATATATCTAATCCGAGATTAGAGACGTGGGTAGATAAATTCTGCCATCTTAGATGACCGCTATTGGCAATGTAAATCGCTTTTCCCTCTTCTGTATGGCTATGAGTTTGTGCAAATATTTCAAATAGATTGCACACACGGACTACTTATATATCTGGCATACCTGTTTAGAGTTCACGTATATTCCTAACAAATAATTTACACGTTCGGTCATCGTTCGTGCCGCTGTCGCCTGTACCGCCACGTGCATCACAAGTAATGACAAAGCAAACTCCCATTCGATCATCGTATTAAGAACCTGCCAATGGAAAATTAGGCAAACTATGGAATAATAACTAGAGTTCACATATATTGGGGGATCATGTATCGCATAATAGGTGTCAACGATTGTACTCTAATCAAGCCACAACAAGTCTGACAATTGAGGTTACTACAAAGGTCCGTTTACGGGAAAAGTCTCTGAAGTAGCAATTGCTACGATGGGTAGATTTTCATATCGTTAGTACAATTTACCGTCATTTATGAAACGACGGATTGAAAAAGAATCCTTATCGCATGCGTATTTCATGCCCACGATACTTACCAAATATTCAAGTGCATACATCAGCAATTTCCCCGCAGGAAGTTTTACAAGGTCAGCACAATGAACTTTTGGTTGAATACAATTAATTAAAATGGTACGGCGTTGATCCGCGCTCAAGTCGGGAATTTCCGATAAGCCAACTTCTCCTAAATAGAAGCATGAGTTAACATGTCAGTGACAGCTCTACCATTACTGCCACCTTTGTTTTAAAAATGATCCGCAGAATAAATAAAGGCTGCGGCACCTGAATCCGAATAATCCAATCACTTTCAAAATTCGCTGCTTCATGCAAACGTTAAACTTTTTTCCGTGTTTTCACTACTTTTGGCAAAGTATATCTGACAAAAACGACGAACGAGTCTTGATCAGATACGTCCCCATACGACAGCCTTAAATATGGGCAGCTAAGTTGGCTAAAAATTCCTTGTTTCGCCGAAACGCCTGGCAATCTGATGATTTTGTCTTTTAAGGTTGCTTTCTACAACGGAAATATTCTGGGAGAAATAACCTAATTGGCGGTCATTCTTTCGACCAATAATTGCATCTATCGTAGGAACTTTTTTCGAAGAAAGAATAATAATAATTGAAGATGGTTGAAAGACTTAAAAACAACGACAATAAAGCTTCTTGCCTTTAACTCTTTTCAAAAGCAGCTGTCCGACTTTTTTTTACACTTTTTTTTAGAAGATTTAGTAACCCTTGTTAGCTAAATAGCTGTTAGATTTTTAATTAAGGTAGCGGTCGGATCATATTGAGCACGCAACGTTCATGCTTCGGCAAATGTAAGTGTTATGCATTTGTATCGATGGGAAAGCTACCGTTAGCTCCAACCAGTTGGTCATTGCCGACGCTGAATTTAGCGTAGGAATTTCGTATGCTTAGAAAATCTCTCGAATTTATCTGCCAGACTATGTCCACTCCATGAGATGTCTACATAGCCATAGCGATAACCTTGAATATTTAGAAATATTCGATCGATTAAAAAGGACAGTCATTAACAAATGTATTACCTGTCGTGAATTCGATATCCTGGAATTGCATATCATGTCCGCTTCGGTCCAACTCTTGAACCATACTGGCATGACCCTTAAATACTAACCTATACAACGATTTTCGGAGAAGTAATGACACCTAAAAATAACAATGTAGGCAATACGAACAGCAATAAAATCAAGTTTTGATCGACGAACTTTAACGAACTGTTACAACAGGCAGTTCGAATTTTCTCGTATGGGAATAGGAAATTATCTAAAAACTGACTGGGTACTTCTTGTTATAAAGCATGTCGCATATATTTAAAGATTACAACATATAAAAGTTTTTCAGTCAGACAATGGTTACCCACGTTCAAATAAAGACTACAATAATGGACGTCAACGGTGTGAGTGTAATTAGTTGCTCCAGGAAGCGTACCTGGTACGAGCTAATCATGCTGACCACTTCAACTTTGACAAACAGAAAATGGATGCCTGTAGTCGCCATCGTAATGACTTCTGACGGCACTTCGCCAGCTCTGAATTTCTGTACAACCCAGTCAGGCATAGGTACTCCTGCAAAAACAGAATTTAACAAACAATTGGTCATATAGACTTAAGGGTTTCAAAACAATGGACCCATTTACGGGAGTTACGAACCTAGTGATTACTAATGAAACGTGTGATGAAATAGGCTTAATCAAATTAAAATAACGCAACCCTGTCTGTGAATTATTGGCAAAGATGCCATCTACCGACTTTTTTTGCGTCGACCCTCCATAAAATCGATACGACTGTGTTGGTTTTTATGGGGAAAACTGTCTCACGCTGGAAAAAATCCTTCTGGTGCGAAAACCACATCGATTAGTTTATTTAGACTCTTAAAATCTGTATTTTTGTGCCTTAGTATTGAATTTAATTTTAGAAGTTTTCATAGTTGGCAACGGTAAACCTAACACATTTTTTCTCTAAGTAAAGATATGCTTGACACCCAAAAATGTTTTGTATTGATCATGGAGAATCAAACATTTTTAAACGAATAGTTTGAATAACGTACAAAGCATTTTGTGCTTTTCAGGCGTAGCAGATGTCTTGCACAGTGTACCTTCCAAAATTAAATGTTATATATAAATATTTTCCAAGTAAGCACTATCCATTAGTATCCATTAGTCAAACTCACCATTTTTGTAAGTGACCCGCTCATCAGAGAACTCTGACCTATACCTAGCGATCCCATCTTTCATTAGGTTGTGTAGTTTGTCGCGACGCTCTTTTGGAGTACATCTGTAACATAGTGAGTATGCAGAAAAGTATTTAAGAAACAAAGAAAGAAAAAGAAGTATTTAATTCGCCTTTCCGCTAAACCGTTTAAAAAAAATCACTTTTCTATGAAAAAAAGAGGGCGAGGTTGGGATTCAGCAAAAAATCAACTAAAACAAAAGCGACAAATAAACATTACCTATCTAAACAACGAATAAAACTAGATTGCTAACAAATATCTGTTATTCTACACACCTTAGCACAATGTCTATACACTCTTCAAGCGATTTCTGTCGCGATAGAAAGCTGAGCATGGCTACCATTGTTGCGTGTGGCGGGTTATAGTGTAGCCTACAGTCGCGCGGTGCACGTATTGTTTGGAAAAAATGAGAAAACGTATCCTATTTGTCGTATTTGTCGAAACGTATCGTAATTTGTCATCCGTATCATGTACAGTAGACATATGAAAGGTTGGAAGGAATGAACAGAAATTTCGGAAGAGTAATTAGTTGGTGAACTTTATTTTTGTTAGCAATAATAATAATTGTGGTTCTTAAGCCACTCGTTTATAGTAAACCTTAGTCGACGATACTTTAACATTATTATTATTATAAAGACCTTATATTAATTGACTAATGTATGCAGCGAAACAGTTTAGAATAAAATACTAAAGATAAGGCATTGCTTTGCGATACGATAATAATAATTTGCGATAATACAGTTACCTCTGCCACAAAATCGTTGCCAACAATGGTGCCGAAGAGTGGAAGCAGTTCCCGATTGAATTCGGGGTTGAACTTGTTGAGTAGATTTTCGACTTTGTATATTTTGCAATCAATGCCTGAATTCAAAATACAAAGCATTTAATTTAGATGGCAATCTCAGTATAGAAATACAAATCACAGCGTAGAATTGATAAAATAAGGAAAAAGGCGTACCTCAATTGCAAAGGAACTTATGATTAATGTTTACGATGCACAGTGATATATTTGAAGTCTTTGGCGAAACTTCAAGCCGCATCTTCAAAGTAATTATCGAGCTTGCATAAAAAGCTTATGTAGCTGCACTTCAAGGGCTGCCCATGTCGCGCGTACGATTTGATTAATATTCAAATGAAATATCGTTCTACTCTTTTACAGAGATTTTAGGTGAGCTAATATACGTTAGTAATATTACTCAGATACTCTTGTAAATTAACTTTTTCATTTTATTTCACTATAAATGATGCCTATGTATGGCGTCTTTTGGGCATGGTTTACCTTTAACAGTCGGCCCGTTCGGGTTCAACTGTTTCATAGTCGTTTCGCGGTTAAGCGAGCTTAATGGAATTAAGCCACCCTTCAAATCATAAACAAAAAAGTCAGAGTCATCAGAAATGACAGGACAATTTAGTTGATTTGCTCGACGAGCAATGTGTTCGTCTGCTTCAAAAACACACTGAATCATCTGAAAAGGGAACGCAGGATACACAATTCGTTATTCTCTTAATGGTTAAATTTTTATGTAAAGCTGGGTCCACTGAAACAGCTTCTCAATCACAACAGGTCTCTACATGTTCATCTCGGCTATCAGTAACGATCTTGTTTTTTTACAAACTAATTTAGAGTGTAACCTCTGTGCTACAAATGATGAAAGTTCAGTGGTAGTTCTGTAGTTTCTGTGTGCTAAGCTATAAAACCAGACGTATAAACTTCGACTTTCGTTTTTTATATATTGAATAGTTGGTTAGGCTAGAAAAACTCTAGATCCCTTTATAATCACAGCGGATCAATCAATGAAACTGATCAAGACTAACATAAGTAAAAATCTAACTTTGTTATTAGTGTCCAATATACATATGTGAGGTCTGTGAAGTTTTTTCTGAGTAATTCATTGAATGCAACTTGTATTGAATAAGTTTGTATACCTCGACGTCTAAATCGGCAAGAACTGTTCTGTACACATCCGTGGCCAATGGCGGCATAACTTTAATTTTCTCAGCATCGGCCCCCTTGTTACCGGAAACCAAGTCAGACAAAAGCAGGTATATTTACGTTTAACTTTTTCTATTAGATAAATACAACAGTGAGTGTACATGAAACGACGATGTAAAATTTTGCGGTAAACAGGCGCATGAGAATTAAACTTCATAGAAGACTGATATAAATATTTAATATACAGTCGTATTGGTTTGACGGCATGCAATTCGGTACCTTCAGACGCTTCATTTGACTAATACGATCCATATTGCGTTTTTGAATAGTTCGAAGTTTGCTATTTGATGGATCATACGCGCCGTCCAGCATTACCACGCAGTGGACATTCGCGTCCTTATATAACCGGAAGTAACTGGAACAGAATAAAGAAGACGTGTAAACACAATTATCGAGATATGAAAACCTTTTTCGTATAATCCGTGATTGAAGATTTCTAATCATTGTGCGGCTTATAATCGTATTTTGAAGGTGAAACTCGTTTAAAACTGAACTAAGCGGGAAACAAAGCTTTATGTAACAGGAGATGGTGCTTCTAAATGAGTGCGATGCAATGTATATGGTCAATTGTTTTTATTATCCTGAGACTTGTTCTTACCGGCTTTATGTCAGTCGAAATGTTTCAAGCAGATTCGTATTGAACGAATCCGCCTTTGTGCCTTTGCCGAGAGAAAAAATGATATTTTAACGAACAGTTTAGTTTTTAAGTGAAGTAAAATATGCTACGGTAAAGAATTAGCGCTAAAAAATCTACCAACCAACGGACTGCGTCGGCGTACCGAGAGTACTCGCCTCCGAGTATGCAATCGAATGAGGCTTCGAGATATAAACGAAATGCAAGATTCCAGCTGAAACATAATACAAAATCAAAAGCTTAGTAGAACGTTTCCGAATCATCTGTTCCTTTTACCGACAAGATATCTGGTATAATACCATACATAGTTATAAAATTCTTTCCCATAAAAGATAAAAAAAGAGCAAAGATGACAAGATTATCAGATTAAATTAGACAAAATAAGCTTTGAAGAACAGGTGCAAAAAAACCAACTATGTATTAACTATAAACAAACCTGTTATAATTGCTTATAGCTAGTAGCTTGCTTACCCGTCAATAACCACGGTGCCACCATGAAGGAAGTGTCGTTGTTGTAGAGAAGGATTACATTCTATCAACCCACGAAGATTTTTTACGCCCATTTTCGCAATTTGTACCTAGAAATAGTCGAAAAAAAGCTTTGTTGGTGTTATAATATAACTATCACATTCTTTTCGCTTTTTTAGGTCTCTGTGAACACACATATTAAACGTCAAGGAGCTTTAAATGGAGAGGCATTACTGTGGGAACGTTTGACTATAATTCGGACCGTTTCGAAAATGATTCTGGTACTCCCTATTGCTCTGATGTTCTAGCATACAGACGTTTCTTTTTATTCGCAAAGATTGAATTTATAAATCTTACCAACACATATTACAGATAGCATGTCATAAAACACAATAACCAACCTCTGGCGACAACAGCGAAGATATTGTTCTAGCCATAGTGCTTGATAGAATATTTGGTAATAGAGACAGTCTATAACTGAATTTAAAACCTGCGATTAAACCTGTTGAAAATAGAGGTATATTGGAACCTAATACAATGTATTCAATTTTAATACTTCCAAATTTCTCTGCCAGATATTTAGAGCATCCGTAAAAGTGCCCACACCCCAAGACATAACCCAAATAAGCCCCAGAACGATATATATTTAAAGGTCTAAAACCCTTTTGCGAACGTCCATACGACAGAAACCTTTATCTACAGATAAACCTAGACAGCTCTTAATGATTGTACAATGGCATGAGAGAAAACAAAAATAACTTGCATGTAATATTTCAAAAGGACCAGGCAGATCCATTGCTTTGATAGTTAGTACTTTCAGTAATAAGTAAAAGTATTATTAACGCATTCATATATAGGTTAGGTGCATGTCTAGTCAATAAATATGCGACGAGATGCACATAAACAGAAGTGTGCCAAAAAAAAAAATGAAAATGAAAGACTTAGCAGTATGTTGACTACTTTAATTTGAGTAATAAAGATTGCACTACGAAAAACTTATTATTCATAATGAACAAATCGAGAGCCGAATCTCCGCGTCTTGGGTTAGTGTTTTTTGTATTTCTTAATTAGAACAGAGATACTGATTAAACTTAAGAAAGAAATATTAAATTAAACATAGTTATTATAACCATACTTTGATGTTCCTGGAAGTTTGCAATCTCTGTCATACTTTCTTCTGACCTGGCCTAAATTGTGATTTCACGATTATCGAAGAGTAGCTAAAGGGGTAACCTCCGTTATACCTTGACAACGCAGGGCTAACTTCAGATCAGGGAACGCTGGTGATACAAAAAAAAGAACGAGGCTTGCAAGGATCAAAATAACAACTCACAATTTAATTAGAAGCTATCATATCCGTATCCAATCTAAAGAAGGGTCACATTAGTTCACTGCTTGAATAATGGTAGATACGCGATGATACACATGAAGCGCAATACTGTACAAAGCGTTTTGCGTTCCATTTATGGAACAGTCAACAGAGAGAATGCACCTAACACAAAGGTTTTCGTCCTCTATTTTTGACTAAAGCAAGTATCCAGTCGAGGCGGTATTATTCGGTTTGTTTACTAGAGAAATATAGGCACTCTTACAATTTATTGTACAGCATTATTTATAATAAAAAGCTGTTACGCCCACCCCTTCTATGCAATTAGTTGAAGTCATGTGCAGTACCTCGTATGTATGTATTGTGTGGTTGTATTTACAGTAGAACACGCTCCCTCCGCCTCATCCTTTCCACTCATGGATCCTCTCCCAGTTGGCGCGGAGTTTTCGTTTCGGCACTGGGCGGGGACTACGTGCAAATCGAGAGCAAATCAAAGCACGTAAAAATAAAACGAGGGCTAACGAATATTATTCTCTGGGCAGTACATATTCCGTAAACAATAATCAAATAATTTGATAAATGAAAGAGCTGGACCCTCTTTCACAACCCACAGGTCGGCTCACACTAAAGCCTACCTTTCAGTAACGCCGTTTTCTGCCATTCTGCTACTAAGTCTCTGTTTCGTTCACTAAATTTACCCGCTTTCTCGAGATACTATCTAAGAAGCACTTCAGAAGAGATCTGAAGAACGATGATTATCGTGATCCGTTCCATTAATGAGCTCAATATGTGCATCTTGTGGGTTCCTGTACAAAACGGCTACAATTAATTAAGTCAGTTTTGAGTTGCGTCAGTTCTTTTAGTTCTATTAAAGCCAACGATAAGCTGAGAGATCATCTCGGAAAAGTAAGCACTATGATTACTCCAAACGTTTTTTTAATAAAACGCAATCACAAAGGCGAATTGGGCTCACCTATGCCAATTCTTGTCGGCTAAAGGCAATTTGTTGTTGATTTTGAAATATATATTTTCTAGACATACTTTCTTGATGCGCAAAGAAACTTGAAGGTATATATTTGAATATAAAAATAGACTAAAAAAATGGATTTATGTGCAAAAAAGTAAAGCCAGTTCAGTATATGCTATTACCGCAGAACCGACAGGCCAAAGACAGGCCAAAGTCGCCCTAAGGACGCAATTTAGGTCCACTAGTAGTTCATCCAAAAAAACCTAAATAACTCAATAACTGAACCATCTACGGACCTGAAATATATTTTAGATCAAACTTGGCGAATCTCGCCCTTGTATTTGTTCATCACATGAAAAGCTATTCTCATTAGCATCAGCTTAAACTGTCCTATTAGGAATTAGAACTCCATCATCGATTCAAGTAATTTCTATCTGTTCCTTTGTGTAGTGCTCAATTTGAAATTAAATTGTAAAAACCAGTTGAAAATCTATTATGTCGGCAATAGCAAAGAAGAGGCGCACATAGCATTTCCTACCCGACTGCTAAAGTCAAGGACAGGATCAATAAATATATATATGTACGGAATTAAATAGCATACTATAGGATCATATAGATAGATGCGTATACGGCTAGATAATGTTAAGTCGGGTGGCTATAGAACGCTCGCTTTTTCGAGCTAACAGCATAGGCTGCGACAATCCGCTCTGTTTTGGGTGGAAACGGTGGAGTGGCGGGAGACGTGGGCGATGCAGTGAGAGAACGTCTTGGTAATTGGGCGTCACGACCGCCCGCTTTCGCCTGGCCATATAAAATTTGAGAACTAAGTTCAGGCATATGAGCTTCCGACTGGGGGTCAGCAGCGACTGGCCAACCGCGTTGTGTTTGGAGTCGGATGATGATGATAAAGTCATCCCTATTCTGCGTTGATTTTGAGGTTACCAAAGCGTTCGTGGTACGAATCTGAAAAACAAAATCGCCGAAGAAATTTTTCTTGCAGATGCAGAAGCCAAAAGAGTTTATGCAGAAAAAATTAACGTTAGTCGATAAGCTGAGGCTTAACCTATACAATAAAATATCCGTAGCTAGTATCCAGATAAAAACGTATACGGGGTTAAGAAATGTAGTCCGGAGGTACCTGCCAGGCAGTAGTTCCACAAAGCACATCGCTGAATCAGTAAAGGTTAGTTGCTAGAAGTGTAGAAAGAGGGGCACGTTTAGGTACGCGCTTCGCAGGTGAGATCTTGGTACAGCGAAAAAAAATAAATCAGGATGCTGTACCGAACAGCAAAACGAGCTTCAGTAATCTGCTATTCCGATACGACGTCACGCTATGTATACGTCCAGTCAAGCATGTTAGTTCACAACTCGACGCTGGTTGTTGCTAATAGCAGTACTGCAGAAAGGGTGAAAAATCAAGTGGTTCGTTCCTAAAAAAACCTTGCCATTCGGTCTGCTGTGCTTCTACAGCCTCTAGGGCCGTGGTATTATCTGCATGTCAAAGCCCATTAAAGCCCCAAGATTTTACTGAAAAAAGAGTATAAATTTAAGCCTGTGGATAGATCGACAACTGTTATATCTATTTTCACATCAATGGTAATATTGGAAATCAGCCGCTTTAGGCGTTTATAAGTCCAATAGCTAGCACTTCTCTCGATAAGGTGAAACCGATGAATTTCCGGCTTGGTCTGCGTTGGTCACCGCTAGGCCTCAGATACGTGAAGGTGTGAAATTCAGTAGGCGCCATTTAAACACGTAGGTACCGTTAAAACCTCATTAGCTGCATCAGTCCATTTTGTCCTACGACTCAATTGTATTATGGAATCAACTTCAGAAGAGCTTGGTCCTGGATAGCTCTGCATCGCATTAATTCGAAATAATTTAACAAATGACTGTAGCCGTACGAATACTTTTGTGTTCCTTTTATTACACCCCTACATATCTGATGTATATGTGTGTTTGCAGATATAAACAATGATATAGTGGTGAACGCAGTTTGATGAAAGCTTGTGCAATGGTACCATATGGTAAATCAGTTCGTTGTGACAGACTTCGTTTCGAAACAGTGTACATTTGATTACTCTCTCTTTTGTTTTCTTTTTTCCTTTCTCTCGATATTATGCTCTACGTTGATCAGCATTTCTCTTCGCTCGCGGGTTTCCATCCCTTTCCTATTTGCTCTCGGCCGTTGGTTCTCGCCCCTCATCTTAACGTCTCGGCGCCTCCGCTGCGAGAGACGCACCGCCGTTTGTATCAGAGCGGGAAAAGGGAAGCCCACCTCTGCCACTAAGGGATCATCCCTCGCTAGCCGCAATGGACAACGGCGACAGCAGCCGATTCACTCACTACTCTCGAAAGATGTACAAAGCAATCGGTCGGGCAGATGGAGGAGATTCAGATCTCAACGACAGCAGCAGCGCCACTTGTGCTGTAAAATCCACCCTGTACTAAGCCTGTATAGATACGCTGTGCGTGCGTAGGTCAGTGTCGTATGATCGGGAATCATCGAGGGTCAATGCGCATCAGCAGTAATACGCTTGTCTGACTTCGGCCAACCGACATTCGACGAAGCGGTCGTAATAATAGATGACAGCTGGAAAAATATGAGAATTGCTTTGTTAATCCGTTTTGTCAAGTAGCAGTACTACAGCTGGTACTACATAAATCCTGCCAACGGTGTGAAGTGGTCGTCTCGATGTGCTGTTCTACCTTATCTTCGCTAAATCATGGATAACCTTTAACACAAAAAAACATACTAGTCTGACGGAAGACAATCAAGTGAATTTCTAATATATTCCAAGAACTCTTAACAGAGATAACGATTAGCTTTTTCAGGGGCAGACTTTGAACACGGCTCTACTAAGGCAATGCCTAAATCAGTGCCATTTGAAGCGATGCAGGGTAAGCAGTGAAATTAGGCTGAGCTAATTTTGAGCGACTGCTGTCGAGCAACGACAGGGCTGGGTACCACTGTTGTTTACAATACAGTTTACGCTAATTTTGTAGCTGCGATCTTTCTATATTTTGTAGGCAGTGAAATCGTTACGAGGCTTACTACAAAGTCGCTGCGGTCAAAATGCAGTGTTTCCGCCGACATAGATGCGTATGACTCCTCGAACGACTACAGGTAGGCGATAAGCTGATCTGACGGTATAAAGAAGTTGATAACAGGCTGCGCAGTAAAAGAATGAACCGCAGTCGACTACAGTGGGTAGAGGTTGAGGGAGTCAAGTTCATCAGGACGATCGATTTATCAGTAAATACTAGCCAATTCAACCTATGATGGTGCTTTTCGCGTTTGATTGTCGCATTTATTTTTCTTCAGCCATACACGCCTACTACGTACTGTTTCGTACCTTTGCGTCCTCCCGAGCCGTTTGGTGATGACTATCTAGTGATGGGCTGTGTGATAGGTCTTCAATTGGAGAAAAAAATGAACAACGATAACAATAACAACCAAATCTAGCCAAGGCAAGTAGTCAGAAAGTATTCACTCATTCAGCGTATTTCATGGGATTCCGACTGTCTAATAATCGCTGAAAGAGCTAAAGAGCGCGGCGGCCTAATCGAATACGTAGGAGGGAATTCCTGTGCCATAACGAAGCGGTGTTTTTCACAGCGTGTTTTGTTCATTTATGTTATTCACTGCCGATCGCTTCTATAGTTCCTAGCAGACAGCTAACCCAACAAAAAAAAAAAACTGATCGAAGGGCATGTTCTTCCTTCGGGCCCGACCGGAGTCCGAGTGGCGTGGAGCACGCGGCGTCAGTGAAGTAACAGTCCGTGAGGAAGTCTTATGTGAAGGTGAACGCGAATTTCAGGTTGGTGTTTTTTTTATGTACAACGATGCTAGTAGAGAGCGTTATGGATCTTTTGATGTCCGCCGACTAGGACGTTATCTTGATAAATTTCATGTTTATCTTAAAATGGATTTTGTTTCAACTGTCAGGAAGACGGCGACGTTTTTTATTCTATTATATATTACAGAAAACAGTGTTCCCGAATTAAATTCTACTAAGCACACACTAATTTATGCCAAGTCGTAAATTTAGTCAAAACCACAATGACGTTTTTAGAAATTGTTGTTATTAGTTGATTTTGTTGCAATAGACGCAAATCAATCCACCCATTAAATATGTTATGTTTATATATGTTATTTTCTTGTATAAGAGTATATCTTTTCGCAAGTGCATTTGTCGCAATTATTGGCCGGTATAATTAAAATACAATCCACGATTCGTTTCAGCGGAGAACACATTTTTTTCTGGCAAATTTTTCTTGACTTTTACCATGGCAAGTTTAGCTCATAATACAGTAATAATGCCAGCCATAGTCCTTTGATACTACTTGTTACAAATGTATTCACATTGGCAGTTTCTGTTGCTTATAGAGGAAGAATAATTGTCCTGTTGGCAATTGCTTTCTAAGCAAGAAATGGACTTTAATATTAATGGACTGCACATCGGCACTCCTTACTAGCATTCGCTAAAATGAACGAAACGATGAAGATCTGCATATCCTGCTTGAACTGAGAACGTGTTTTCTTAGGCTTCCTTAACGACATATAATAAGGACGAGCGAAACTTATTTATAATTATGACTCAATTTTGTTTATTATTGCCGAGTCCATTTCCTTGATTTATATAACTACGGTTAATGTTTCATTTTTAATAAAATTAATGATTAAATCAATAGCTGTATCCTCAGCACCAATAAAGCCCGAGAAAATTGTTTGTCGTTTTGTTGTTACGTAATGAGTTGACCCTACCACTTAACAAGTAACCACGCTATTACCGATATACAAGTAAATAGTTTTAATACAATACTGATTAATTTCCATCCATTTCAGAGCTTAGCAGAACAAAATACGTTTTGCAGCAGCTATCTAGGAATATAAAACCTGAATGTTTCTACATAAGCTTTCAGAAATGTTGAATGAATACTATTCTTTGCTTTACACAGTACAGTTAGATTTGTGAGACAGCGCTATCAGAAAGAAATTTTTATGCATACATTTATATCTATATAATTTTTGGCGCAGTCACTACATAACGATGCCTTTTGTTTTCCAGGCCATCCGGAATGACTTTGTTGTCGACACCTCACCACCGCCAGCGACACTTTTCACGCCGACCAATACGCCTGAATGTCAGAATAAACTTCGGAGAAGGCTCAACTTATTTCGGAGGCGGAAAGATGCCGCTCCGGTTATCGAGGCCAAGCCAAGTGAAACGGCAGGAACAATTGAGCGACTTCGAAATATCAGCCTTCAGCCTCCTCCTACGCATTTAGAAAAACTAAATAATTTGCCTGAAGTGAAAGAATCCAACCGTGGTTTATTGTTTCGAAAAAAGGACTCAACCGAGTCTTTTACATGTACGTTCAAAATAGGTGGCATTTCGACCAAGGCTCAGTCCGACCACTTTGATCCCCTAACAACAAAGGCGCCAAATGGAACCCGAGAGTCTTCAGAAGAGGCTCAGTCCACGAAAGACAGATCTATTAGTTACGGTAATTTTGGAGCTAAAAAAGCGCGAAGGTTTTTCTCCAGAAGAAAGTTCAACAGCAAGCCCACTAAAGAAGAAAGTAAAACACCTCCCCCGTTAAAACATGGAATCAAATCGCTTATGAAAGTGGCACAAGAGAATCCAGAAGATTCGCCTCTTCATGGATCTCCCATCGGACACGAGGGTACATCAATTTCAGAAAGTTTCTCATGGCGCTACAACGTAACTCGAAGTGGCGACTCGTCATTATGGAATCATTCATGGGTTGATTCACCCTCAAACGCCAGCTCAGCGAAGTCTACGTGGGAAGTTGTTCATGCACAGGATCCGGGGCTTGCCATGACATCGCCAAGTTCTGCGCAAACGACCTCAGACAGACGTCGAGGCCTGTTCACGTTTCGGCGTTACGGCTCTAACAAGCTTCTTTCCCTGGGAAGTGCACGAAAAACAGAACAAAAGCGATTTGCCAACAAAAATAAGAAAGGGCAGATGTGTGCCGATCTTGAGGCTACCGAACAGCTAAACCAGATGATTTCGCTCGTAGCGAGCACGGACGACGACGAGGACGAAGACGACGTGAACTCGAGATTCTTATGGGTGGACTCTCAGGGTCTATGGGCGCCAATTACACTGAACCCGCTAGGGCCTGACTCGTCACAAAAACTCCACGGTTGCGACTGCTCCACCAGTGTTCCGGAGGCTGAGGCCGATTGCCCTAGGAAGAGTTTCTACCTTGATGGCGACGGTCTGCCGTCACCTGGGAGCCCATCACACGCCCAGCCGCACGGTTCACCTAGCGCTTCGTTTGGCAGCCTTCGAACGGCCAGCGCCGATAGCCAACAGCAGCTGTCAGCTGCCACAGATGATTGGGTAGCAGATTTCTCCGTTTTTGACAGTCCCCAATACAGTAATCGTAATTTAGAGCACGCAAACGAACAGCAATGCCAGCAGTGGCAGCAGCAGCAGCAGCAGCAACAGCAGGAGCAACAACAACAACAAGAGCAGCAGCAACAACAGCCACAGTCAGCCGTAGAGCTACGGGCTCACCTTGCAACAGCCGAACGCCTTCTAAACACTTCCAAAGATTCGGTGGAAAGTATTACTTCACGGGACAACATGTCACCCCTTCCGTGGACCCCACAAAATACCCAACAGTACAATAGCCGTGGCGTGCCAACGCGTAAAGTAGCAGCAGGTATTAATAAAAGAGGACACCAACATCAAAATCGAACTGGCAGTACTTGTAGTGATGTTTCTGTGGTGGCAGAATTGACAGAGCGACGCAGCCGACAAAGGCCACGCTCCTGGTTTCAGGGAACAAAAGGAGACGCCGATGTTTTTCGGGAGGCGCAGACACTCCTTGATATACTTCACGAAACTTTCCCTGAAGGCGATATCGATTCACCAGGCAGCGACTTACGAACAGTTTATTGATGCATTCTACGATGCTAGATGCAACGAGTGCCTGTTCAATCACTTTTATACGTAGCAGGTGATATTTAAATTCAGCTAGTAGACGCCCCGTGCAATATATATATATATATATATATATATATATATATATATCTTTTTATTAAGTATATTAACATCGCAACTATAATGGACTACCTATTTGGTGGCGTCTTACGTTGTTGATGACAAAAGAAAAACTAAACACTGAACGGTCGAATGGTCAGTGGAACTATTATGCAAATAAGAAGGATTACCTCTACAATGTGGGGATGCAAATTAAAATTGTATCCCCTAGCATTGTCCCATGTATCCCAGCTAGCGAATCGCGCGCGTTAAGCTTTACTGATACCTCCTGATATCTCCTTTCAAGTTCCAGGATGTTTGAAGTTGGCGTAAAGAGGATCGATCAATCGATATTTGCATATCGACGTGTGCGTGTTATCATTTTGTTTTGGCCATTCGTCACACCAAATGTACAGTCGTATATAGGTGTTGTACATAGATCAGACACGAGGACAAGTTCTAAAGCGAAGTACATAATTTATCTAACATGCTTGCTCATCTTTGTAATGAAACAAAAAAATTATCAGGTGCTTATTTATAGGTGAGAATGATCGATTGATTTTTCCATGTTCTTTCGATCTGAAACAGACAAATTACAGAGCACACATACCCTCTAAGCGACGTCCATAGTCTAACGTTCAATTTTAAATAAGAAAGCTGAAGAAAAAAATGTCCTTATGAAATCATCGATAGAACCAAAAACTGATTGGATTGCAATAGCCAATAAACTACTTCCCTGACGTGTTATTTCTAGTCCCCATTTCTTTTGGGTCTGGCTCTCTGAGGTCGCTCACTTTTAGAATTCCCCACTTCCCTGACACATCGATTCCGAGGCCAATGATATAAATATATGAATTATGTTCATAGCAAAGGCTGTGTTGGTGTTATGGTTGCAGCAGAAAATTGTCATGTGATACCGATTCGAATTAGCAAAAAGGAGTTTCGTGGCTTTTCACAAGCCTGTACGCCGTAATATACTTCGACTTGAAAGGCTCAATTCAATGTAAATGTCTACTTGTATATTCGCCTATATGCAAGCACATTTTAACCACAAATATTGCGTTCTAAAGCAAGATATAACAATGATGTTTCCCCGTTAGAAAGGGATGGTTCTTGCCTACAAAAGAAATCATAAATATAGGTTTATTTTTTCTCTTCATAATTTTGTTTCTCGAATATCCATGCTGGATTTTACTCGCCCCAAATTACTTTCATAGCAAAATTGTAAAAAAGAAAAGAAGTTTATTTGTTCCCAACAGTTGGTCTTGTAGCTGTTTTTGATTTTGAGACGCAATCTATGGACAGTTAATTGTTCCCTAAAGCTCTCCATAGCCTTGTTCAAGAAATTCGATCTTAAATCCGGATCTTTCGAACTCCAAGAATTAAAAAAGTAATTATGCTTAAAAAAAACATAAATTTTCAATCATCATAATTCTTAAGAAATATGTATCGTAAGCTCTCTTTTCAACTGCATGTGAATAACTTTGCATATTGTTTTTCTAGAAATCCTCAACTTTTACTGTTATACTACTATTATAACCATTACTAATTCATAAATTACGTGGAAGTATCTTGTTGCTGAAAGCTGCCATCTGTTACCATTACATAAACAAATTTAGATGTAGACTTCATGAGAAGAGTTTCAGAGCCGTCCATAAAGACTATCTGTGAGTATATACTGATTCAGCAATTTCAGAGAATTCAAAATCAGAGAACGATTCCGATATTGTTCTTACGTCAACCTACGATGGATGCAATGCATACTTTTCTGATCCCTTGAAGCAGCATTCATCCACAAATACTCGGAGCACTTCACTAATGACTACTGTAGTATCGTGAAAACAAATGTCTAAGGATCATAAAAAAGAAAACTATACGAAAGCGAGGTACGTGAGAAGTATATCAGTACATTATTGTTCATAATAATATGATATATTTAAATAAAATAAGGTTAATGCAGGTACGTCATGGCTCGTACCTAAAGACATAAAAAAGAAATGCCTGTTCTTCTTGATATGCTCCTGATTATGTATAGATTTATAGCGTACATTTTGTACAGAATAGTAATGCAAAGTCTAACCTTCACACAATTCTTACGAAGTGTTTTTGTCGATAGCAAAATTATAGGAGGTAAATTCCCTGCTGTCAAACTTCGTATTGGAACCGCTTATAGGACTAAATATTTATAAGGTTGCCTAAAAGCGTACGCACATATATGACAGAGGACGGAACTGGTCCGACCAACCCTATAAAAGCAAATTAAATCATCAGGCCTGTTGATTTGGCTATGATCGCGTGTTGCCGGTGGTGGTAAAGTCGTCAATGGTCAGTCACCACCGAGTCTTACATTTTTACAGCTTTCATTTACGGTGCAAGCTTACCAACTCGATGAATATTATAACAGCCCAATAATCGATATTTTAACCAATACTTGAAATAAGCTTTTCAGAGTTAACTAGTATAAGGCCGACGACGACAGTACAGAGCAACTCCGCACTAGATCCGCTCAGCTAGTTTAGACCCGCCACTCGAAGATATTCGAGGCCATAAAAGTAAATATGACTTTTGGAAAGGTTTTTTATATCAGCTCCACGCAAGAGACTTTTCGGAGAAAAGGATTTGATCGTTTGTCAACTGTGAACGACCTTTATGACAATCATCTACAGCATTTGCGGAAACTGACATTGAGAAATTATATTACCCATAGTCTTGGAGGTAGAAGGTAAAACACAGTCATGAGGTTTTTGCGATCTTTGAAAGAAATATAATCTACCGGTTCCTTGGGTAATCAATACATTAAGTATGATCAACAAACAGGAATTATAAATTGTGGAACTCGATGCATTTCATATAGACGGACAGAGTACAATAAAGCAATATGTCATTGGTGTTCCTTAGAATGCCGTTCAATGTACGAATAAACAAATGGAAAGTCCGGCACACAGAAAAAAAATAAGAGGAACCACTTATCGCTATTAACACATTCGCTCATTCAGAGCAGTTGGTTGAGTTCATTTGGCCCAAGTTCTCAGTCTATATATATATATATACCACCACCAGTGCCACGCTGTCCGATCACTGATTTAATAGGTACTTAACGGTAGCGCAGATGTGGATATGGAGGTGGAATGAATAAATCAACCCAAACAATATATCATAAATGCCGTGAGTAGTAAATGGTACTACTTTTTAGACTGATGCACGACAAAACAACTCACGTAGTGAAGGGGTAGATTAGTTGATAAAATATGCGCTTTCTATATTCCTTTCAAAACAGCTCGTATGTTGCAATAGACCTATAGATCCGACTCTTTAAGTGAGCATTCATTTTCAATAATTTCATTATGGGAAAAAACCACTTACGACATCTAGCGGTTTACATAAAAATATCCACTTCAATAAATCACGCATGCGATTTTGCAGCTGTTGGAAAATGTACTTCAACATAGATTGCAATTTAGGTAGTTCAATGAGTGTTATATTAAACTAACGCATGCATAGGATAACTTTAATCTTTGAACACCCTGTATGTCTATCTCTTTTCATTAATTAGCTTTAATAGGACCGTTTTACCAATGGACTATTTTCATGAGTGGCTTAATCACGTATCAGCCATTGTATGTCTATAGGGGGAACCGCTCTAACACAGGCTGAGCTTACCAATAGCTCGATAACGAAACAGTGATGTATGGTTACAGGCAAATTTCTGCTACTTACTGAACTGTCGGTTGCGTCTGGCAAAAAGGCTAGGCTGACCTATGAGTCCATCCACATACATTAATAGCGTAGCGTAATTATTTGGAATAATAGGCGTTATTTGAACAAAAATTGGGCCGTAAATGGTCGAAACTACTTTCTGTTAGCAAGTGAACAAATTAAACTCCTTTTCCACTTACGTTTACGCCTTGCGGGAATTTCGAGGTATTAATACCTCGAAATTCAGAATTTGTCATATAATTGGGGCATGGGCAATTACATATGTAGATCTCTAACAAGAGTAATCATATAATCAAGAGTCATCCTAAAAAGACAGCTCTGTGTGGCATAACAATGTTATACGTTAAAAATTGCTCTGAGAGGAATATGTGAGCAAGTCTTCAGACAAAACTTGAAACGACTTTGTGTGTGCTTCAGAACAGCTATCTCACAAGCTAAATATAAATAAACTTTTCTTCATTATAGTTATCCTGAATATGTAATACGTCAAGCTGTTCTTTTAAGAGCCAAAAATAAACTAAAGTAGCCGATTCCCGGAAAAGCTTTTTAAGTAAAAATTTTCACCTTATCCGATCACCCATTGTGTAGTGTTTATAACTAAACCAAGTTTGCTCCTTTTAGATCGAGGACACTCTAGCAGTTGAACACACGGAACGGCGATTTCCTGAGTTGTATTTTTTCCCGATACACATGGCGATAAATTATAAAACAGCAGTGCGTTTTGCAGTTCATGCGTTGAAATTACTCATAAGAATAGCCTATGTGCAGGACTATGATCGATCTTATAACACAATAGAAACTACAAAAAAACTCGCTGAATGGTATCATGGTCGTTGAGCGGCTTGCCATTCCTTTCTGTTGGCCCTCGCTTCAAATCCGTTTCGTACTAATTACGAACAATGAATCCCATAGGTAATGAAGACATTTTGTTGCACATTCAGTCTGCCGTCGACATCGCGTCGGTACGAACTGAGCGGCATTTTTATATAAGATAAAAAGTTCGACCAGTTGAATGAAATGAAGATTCCGAATATTCCAATGATATGATCTATTTCCTTGAATTGTTTCACATATTTTAGAAAGGCTACTTTGACATGGATATTATGTTCCTCAACGGAATTCAAAATGACTGGTCTCGCTTGGTCGTTTCTATGTCTACGGCCTTTAGCCGTTGTCTACCAAAACGTCCGGATCCCTTTTGCAACGAAATAGCGGGCTAAACGGGCAGTACAGTAGGTAAACCTCAAACAGTACGTAATTTTTGACGGCCGCTAAAAGCAATTCTCTAACAAAATACAGCCGAAACGTCCAACAACGTAGGACGAGGGTCTATAACATAACAGTGATGTCATGGCAGACAAACTCGGTCGTAAATGAATTGACACGGGTGAGCACGTCTAGAGTAATGTGATTTATGATATATTACATTACCACCGGGGGGCGCCGGACAGGTCATCAGTAGCAGAGAATTGAGAAGTAAATATTTCTAGCGTTATTGCTAGAAGAATATAGTCACGATTGAACAATCTCATCGTACATACTATTTATGTTTAACATAAGTTGATGATATAATTCTTCGAAAGATGAAAATAATAAGCATTAGGTAATTAGTAAGTGGTACACGGAAACCTACATAATCTAGCGTGGGGTTTCTTGTCAGATTAAGATGTCCTTACTCGCTAAAAAGTATAAATGTATATAAATAGATCTGTTCACGTATTAGGCGTAGAACAAATATTCACGGATTGTTTCTGACTTGCGTTTAAGGTTTCAAAAATTTTTGACAAAATGCTTACAATATATGTGCGTACTGAACTTCGCCTTATAGCTGAAGGCACAAATGCCTCTAGGCAGCACTTTCCTTCAATTCAATACGCGTATATGTGACAGTGCATATACAATTTGCTCTTGTTATCTTCATTTAAAAGTTTAAAACAATCATGTTATGTTTGAAATAATTAAACCTTTTTAAAACTTAGTTCTATTCGAACTATATTTAGCTGTTTATTTGCAAATTATATTTCGAGCGAAATTCACTCCTTCGTAAGGTTTCGTCTGATTGGAAGATGTTATCCTGGTGTAATTTCCCAATCACTTTGTTCTACTATTAGCGAATTCGATTCAAGAACCTAACCTACCTAAGTAAAGACGGTAGACTTCCTTAGTTTCTGTTATCTCGTTGCAGTATTGCCGAATTTTTGTTGCATTACTTTTGTCATTGTTACAACTAGATAGTATTGCAATGAATCCGTTATTCATGTGGTTTATCTAACAATCGAGCTACATGCTGCTAAAAACGGCCAAAAATCTTCTACCATGTCAACTTTTTTTAATTTGATCGAATTAGGTTATACAATTAACCAATCCTTTTGTACTTGCAGAGCTTACATCAGCGAATTTAGTAAGTATCTGAGTGGTATTAGCAATTTACCCTTGAAGCTTTTTCTACTTTGTCTAGCCCTCCTCTTTCTTGATTATCGTCCAACCTTGTCCTATTTGCTTCCGTACACGAGTTAGCTCACTGTTCATTTTTCATTGGGATTTTGAAAAGAAAATGGCGATGTTTCTCAGAGACGAATAGTGAGACCTCTTCACAGTCTACTATAACGACAACATATTTTCCAGTTTCTTGCTTGTGTGCTTGTCATCGTGATATCACACATTGTCATTTCTTTTTTTGACAAACGTCATACTTGTTTATCTTAGCATCGGACAGTTCAACACACATTTAGAGATTAGTTTCGTTGTTAAGATATAGTTAGGTATGTCCTGTACGCCTTATAGCATCATCATAGGCTAAAGTGTATCAACGTAAATAACGTTACGTATGAACGAAAGATAAATTTACAATTTCTGTACGCAGAACGTACTGTATGCAGCGATCAACGTCAAAATAGCTCATTCACTGATACATATATATACGTGTATATATATATAAATGTCGCTTGCACCAGTATAAATTTAAACTACAACACGGTTTTTGCGGATCCTATCGTAGTAAAATGAACTGCTTACAATTCAAGTCTCTAAAATTTCATTTTGAAGTCAATTTGCTCCTGAAATGATCTTAACGAGGGCTTTTCTTTATTAGTACCATTGATTGGCTTCTTTTCAGCTAACGCCCGCTAACATCCACCTAAAAGAACCTAATACTGAACATATTTACACGAGAAATCGTCGTAATTTGCCGCAATGTATTGATCTGGGCCACATTCCTGTATATCACACGTAGGCGTCACGCATGGCTATTCGTGGATTTCATCCTCTAAGGAGTCACAAGGAAGGAATGTGTCACAATCAGGTTTTTTTCAGCTGATAGCCTTTTTTGATCAAATATTGTACTTAATCTTCTTTTATATAGGTGCTGTGCTATTGACTAGCTAAAACCTGTACAAATTAATGTTCCGTTAAATAACGCGTGACTCGCTAACTGACGGATCCTTGAATGCTCGAAACTGTATTGAAGCAGAACACCTAGTATTTGTCCACTCACACAGCTGTGCTCCATTGATTGTTAGCTGAGTACACAGGTTTATCCGTCGACAAAGTGAACAACTGGGCACACCTGTAAGGTGGGTCTATAAGGTTCTAAATTTATTTTTTTGCAAGCGCCAAATCGACGGCTGATTGCGCTACCCAGTAACGTTCAGCTGTGGTTCAGATAAATTTAGTAGAATGGCACTTTCCAAATAGATTTGTTTCTCAAGGCCACTATCGAATGTAGCGACTATCAAGAATGGCACAATCAAGAAGCAGCTATAGCGTAACGCTATTTGTGCCGTATATATATATATACATACATGTATTAGATTGAGGATGAACTCTTGTTAATAGATTCCATTGGTGTCGTGTTTGGAAAACGAGTCTTTGATCTTTGTATGTGATTTCTTACGGTAATTGCATTTGTGCAGTGTGCTAAGAGACATCAGTGAGAAGTTTACGTAGTAAAAATGTACCGTATAGAAACATGTCGTGTATTTTTTTCCTAATTTAAGCCCTTTGGCAACGGCTCACCACCAACTGTAGTCCATTTTGTATGCGAACAAAAACGTGATAATTGAGATAGTTTCGAATCACGACAGAAGAGTCCATTTAGCTTGACAAATGGAATGCTTCCTGAGTAGCAACTCCCAGAAAATCCAGAGACTTTTTCCATACAAGGGTTGCCTTTCGAAAAACGGGGCGTATGGTTATATCCCTTGGTTTAGCTTAGCATCATGCGTTACCACGGTGCAGCCAAGACAGCTCTAAAACATGCAAATAATGTGTATTGAGGCGCGTATAGTTTTTGTCCAAGAACAATGCGAGAAGGCAAGCAGTTGCTGAAGGAGCATGAATATGTAATGAGGAGTCAGGTAAATTTCGATAGAGACTTCCGCTATTTTCACTAGTATAAGGCGTCGATACAGTCAAGGAGGATTAAGCGACTTTAGCAGAGAAATCAATATCACACCCACGAAACTACATACGACCGTGTTTGGATTGTTTCTTGCAATCTTCTAGTATTAACTTCTTTCATGTGATGCGCTAGAAGGACCTCAGAACGGATAAGAAGCGGAACCCAAAAGAATAGCATGTCATTATGTGCTTCCGTGGCAGTGCTATGTATGTGATTTACTATACAGCTAGAGTTGTGCAGTTATTGTCCATAAAAAAGGAAAAAATAGATATATATATATATATATAGCAAGCGAATATAAGTTACCAATATTTGATCATATAATAAAGTGAACTTTTTTCGCTTCCTTTTTTTTATTTTACGATTATTGCTACTACTGGTATATAGAAAATTATGATGCGTTATTGTGTAAACGAAGCGACTAATCATTGAAATAATATAGTAATTTTTTTGCCAGTTTTTTGTAGGAGCTTAACCGGTGTTTGTTTTCCCTAAACTGTGGTATTTATCTTTACATATCCGGTCAACAAGTGGGGTAACTGTGACAAGAAGTTAGTTATGCGGAGGTGTAAAATGTCGGCTACGTGATATAATTTGTTTTTAAAATTTTTTTGATTAGTTGTCTGATGTCTTTTCACAACCAAAATCGAGCTGTTTCACAGCCCCAAAAAAGCTTTAAACTCAAGCATTAAATTCTACTTACTTAAAGCTCGGAATCGAATTTTATATTTATATATATAGCAGTGTTTCTGAAGATGCATAGTTATACAAAAAGAATGATCAATAACGCTATTCCTTATAGCCATTGCTCACTTTAAAGCAACTATGCGACCTATATATATATGTCCATAAAATATCAATTTTCACATTTAGTTTGTGTCTTACTATGTTTTCGATTTATTTCATAGGAGCATGAAGCAACGCAAGCGTAAATCCCCGTCGGCGCAAGCTTGTTTTACTGAAAGCGAGAGGGAAAGTTCTCCCCGAAAACGCAATGTGTCTTGCCCCTGGGACATGGTGCCGCCAGAAGTGGGAACTCGTGTCCTTAGCCTTCTTACGGTTCAAGATTTGTTCCGTCTACGAAGAGTGGACCACCGATTTAAGGAGCTCGTCGACAGCCACCTAGCTACCACGAGGGTCGTTAGCTTTTCCACTGAGTCCGAGACTATCCCGTGGGCGAGGGCAACTGGCCTGGTGACTGATAAAAATGTTGTTCCCATATTTGCACACTTCCCTAGAGTTGAAGAGATTCGTGGATTTGCGTTCAGCAATATTTGCTTTCGGCGAGTCACGAGGTGAGTGGTAAAAAATTTTTAAAAAAATCATGTCAAATACTCGCAGGATTTTTACAACCAGCCTCTTGTTCTTGTCTGCCATCATCACAACCGACATACCTGCTAAAACCGGTTGTCCTTAGATCGAACGTCTTCATACCATTTCGGCTGCTTCTATATAAGCTGCGACATAAACAGTTCATTGTACCGTCTAACATTACAACAGTGGCGGGTCTCTTTATGAGTGATTGCCTGTAGTATCAAATTTATCTCCTGGCCAGAAAAGGGACATTTAAACTATTTTAGTGATCTAGTTTGTTTATTGCGTTACCGAGCAGATCTCTCGAGCGTTCCGGATGCCTCTCTTATCGTGGTCTTATATGGGCTTTTCGGAGCCTCCATCACCTTCGCAGAGTGTCTACAAACGATGTTGCTCTTGCTTCATGGCTTATGTCGACTTTTCCCCGGGTATATGTGGACCTCTCATTTTCAGGTTATGTCAAACTTCTCCCCTGTCCCGTGAACGTTCCTCGTTGGGTGAGTTTGACCAGCATATCATCTTATTTACCTTAGTATTTAATTGTATAGATGCCTACTTTTTTCAGTGCACTTTTAGTTAGCGCTAACTCCACAATTGCAGTTAACTTTTCAGCAGTTAACTGTCTATATGCGATCGAAAAAATGGTCTGGGAAGAATAGTGTATTCCAGCTAGATGCGGCATTTATGAGAAGGCCAAGTTTCAGAGGTAGAACATTATAGGTTGTCGTAGATGTATAAACTCTAAAGGCACAACCTTGAGTGGAAAAACGCCTTGCCAAAAAAAACTAGTAAAAGAAGTAAATCGCCGCGAGCTTAAAACTGTGCGATTACTCCATATCCAAAACCAACAAAGGGGCTATGCCGTTCATTCCTTCTTAGTAATATGTTATTGATTTTCAAAAATGGAATAGCTGTCGATAACAGGTGATCTCTTATTTTTATTTTAGGTGTTGAGTAATAAATTCTGGCTTATTAATCAGAGCCTTCCACCCTTTCCTCTCCGAGGTGACACTATTGAAAGCGTCCTACTTGAGAATGTTTCACTTAAAAGGAGGTACGTGCCATTTTATTCTGCAGTATAGCCTGCAGTGCTGTCATGTTTGTTAGGATTCGAGACCTCCCTTAAAACTCTGTGTGAGCCAAACTCAGTCCATATCTGAATAAAACTCACATCGTATTTCAGACGAACGACGGTGGAGCATTTTGAGATTGATTGCCCCAACCTACGGCAGATCGCTTTACGGAGAAACTGTTATGACATAAATAGCTGCACTTTCACCTGTCGGGTGCTCAACTCTCTAGCGAGGTTGGTTAAAATCAACTTAACGTTCACGTGCATATCATGATAAAAAGGTGAGGTCACCGGTTGGTGACTGCATCCACTTACAAAGTTTATGATGTATATGTATTGTTATAGAATTTCTTCTTCTGTTTGTTTGGGAATCTCTATTTTCTGTTGTTATATTAGTTTAATCAGAGCTGCTAAATAAGAAAATAGACAGCATCATATTTTTAACCTATATCAAAATTTTTTTGCTATTTCACAAGCATAGCGTCTATCGGCACGGACCAGATAAGCCCTTATTCTCTCTTTTGATCTGACATACACAGTTCAATATCTTCAGGTTCAAGCGAAGTCTTCATTCTGTACTTTGATAGTGATCACCATTGTGCGACTTTAAAGAATATGTTTCGCGGTATCGTGTAACTCCTAATTGTATTTTTGCATTACACAGGTGTCCTAAGCTAGAAGTGCTTGAGTTGGCAAATGTTGACTGCACCCCCGGTGAGCTGGAAGCTGTCATCTTGGACGAAGCACGTGCCGGAATGCGACCTTTTGATAAATTGCGCATGCTGACCCTCAGTGAATGCGAGACCTTTTCCATGGGCGATGTGGCTCGACTCTTGTTTTCGTGTCGAAATTCCCTTGAAGAATTGAGAATCGATCCGACCTTCTGTACATCTTCATTACTCAGGTTCGATTGTTATGACCATAGTACTACCAGTAGAAGCATACAGTATAAAATGATAGTACATTTAGTACATGTTTTTCTTATTATTGTATGTTAACAAATTGCTTATAGCGATGAAGCTCATGCAAAAGTGAACTAATTGTCACCTAGAGCAATGCACGGAAATTGCCTATTATTATTATTCTCTAATATCTTTTTGAACTTTCGATGGCTTCCTTCCGTCATTACGCTCAGGATTACCCATGTAGTTTTGTTATTTCTTCACATTATAGGGTCTTATGCGCAAGCGGTGCGGTCTTCCCGGCGCTTCGTGCTCTATACATAGGTTATTGCGGACATGACAGTTTACCGTGGGACTCTCCTTATGACGCTTTTTGTCGGCTCGACGATGAAGATTTAGCTCGCATCAGTGCGTTATGTCCGCACCTAAAGGAATTCAGCCTCAGGGGTTGCGCTTTCTTGCACGATGCAGCTCTATGGAAGGGTGACTGGACACAACTGGAAGTCCTACAGGTAAAACAAAAATTATATTTTTTCACAGGGCTAAAGTAAACCTTCACATAGATATGGGTGAAATACGTTTGGTTTAATTAAATACCAGTGGAAGTAGAAAGCTAATTTTAATATTCGTATTAATCGATTTAATTGATTTTAGTGTGTAACTAATATGTACTCGTACCCGTGCGATCCTCCAGGTGGCTTATTGTGGAATGTTGAACATAAATTCGGTAGCTGAGTTTGTGAACACGAAATGCTCATCGCTGCGTCATTTGGCCCTGCATTGTGTCACTCCAGCAACAGAAGACGGAGGTCAACTTCCTCCACTGACTGGAGAGACAGACAGTCCTGTCCAAGACTGTGCAACTAGTGGGCCAAGCGAAGATGGAGCCGCCACTGCACAGGAAGGTCAACCTCAAGCACCCCCTCCACCTGTCGCTAAGAAGGTAACACTAGCATTTACGCCAATAATCATAAATAATAAGGCATTTATTATAACTGCACAGATATATGATAAAATGTTAGCTTGACTGAGGTATTATTTGCCCAGCAGGATCTATTGCGGCGATGTGCTGATGGGCCTCGGGTAGCTGCGCGAGCAACCTCTGCACCCCTAGGAGCTCCATCTGCTGCTCGTGCTCAACTTAGCGTCGACGACACAGCTGGTGGTACCCAGGCCAGCCAAGCTTCGTGCTCATCGTCGGCGTCGTCGTCATCGTCGTCGCCTGCCGCCGAGGCGAGCCTTGGATTTAATCAGCACAGTGGTTCAAGCATTTGCCTCAGAAGTGAACACCTGGCTTCAGTTTCACTGGTCAAAAGCTCTCTTTCATATTTGTCCACCGAGTGTCCTCGTCTTGACATTGTGCAAGGTAAATGAGTTTCATTGCAACTACGCATATTGCTACTACCACTATCACAATTATTTGGTGAGAAACCAAGTCAAAGGGTCGTGAAATGTTTCTCATATGACTACATATATTATGATTCTTAAAAATGCAACTTGATTTGGTTTTTCATTATTTTCGGTTTTTCTCGGTTATTTTCAACGAATGTACATTTCTTTTGTACTTCGCTATTTATTTCAATTAATAAACATGGTGCATAAAATCTTCATAAGGTTATCAATTTGTTTATTTTCAGTGGGTCATTGTCCTCACTTACGGAGCATTGAGGTACGCGGACCGCCAGTGAGGGTAACAGTGGTAGAGTCACCACTCCTTGGAGAAACCCTATCTTCTCTTCCGCAAGGCAGCCTCGTGCTGGCACAGGATTCGCCTTCAATAAGAGGTACGATGACTTCGCTCCAAATTATGCAAATGTTGACAAACACTTACTTCTAATTATGTATGGAATTAATGAAAGTAAACTTATGGAAATCGAAAATAGACGCACAGAAACTTATGTATTCTTTTTTACCAAATAATCGCTTATACACAGTCTTCCGAAAATGCGGAACATTTAATAAATAGATCCGCTCGGTCGAGCCAACGATTCACTTAACTCCTAATACATATGCCTGTTTGGAAATGAAGTCTTCTTCCATTAAAGGTAATCGAGGAAACGTTCTAACCAGTTATTAATAGCGCTGCATTTTTTTGATATAGAAGTGAACTCGGTAAGGCGCAGCGTTTGTCTGTACCATCCAGGTGCATGTCTGCTACAAGGACCGCAAAAATTCAATAGACTGATTGTGGATTTTTGCATTTCACGATGTAGCTCTAAGTTGCTGTACAATTTTTAACTTTTTGAGTAAAATACCTTTTCTAGGTCGATGTACAAAATTAAACTCATTTTGGCGCTTTGATTAGAATTACCATTTTCGGGTTATTTCGATTTTTCTGCAATCTGTACCGTTCGTTTTTGAAAAGTCAAGGACACTGATTTATTTAACTATAATGCATAAAAGCGTAAGCTGTAGTTTGTACAATATAGTTAAATGTAATATTTCCCGAAATAGTTAATTATATTTTACAGTCGTTTCAAATTTCTTTACGTGTGCGATCCTTTACAGTTCCAATTTTATCATTCATAATGATAATTTTTACAAGACAGAAATGTAGAAATGCAACTACTGCAAGAACAATGCCATCACATTTTAACTTTTGCTACGTGTAGCTATTTCTGGAATAAGCTTTATGCCATCTGAAAAATATTTTGACTTACGGTGTAATTAAGAGAAGGACTTGATGACTCATTTTATGAAATGCAACTTAACATAGTAGATTATATTTTCCAGTTTATCGTAGGTAACACAACGGCTATAGCGTGCAAAAAAAGGGCATCGCGGAATTTACTCAAGCACATCTAGAGAGGCCCATTTGTTTTGTTTCTATATCTTTATCTGTATTTTTTAAACTTTTTTTAAACTTACGGATTATATAAAACTAATATTTATAGTTAGAGAAACGTATAAGAAACGTATATAAACTACAATAAAACCTCCTATTCGACTCTAAAAGTTTTACTAATGTTCATGATAAACTGTCTAGAACTGTGCTTATTAAGGGAACAACAACTGAGGTATTTTTTGTGGCATATTTGTTCGTTGTAGTAAACCTATATTTTCTACTTTAATACTGTTCTTGGAAACGTTCTTACCGTGTTAAAAGCTCTAACTATATTTTTTGTGCAAGAACTGTTGATTTTGACCTTGATTAAAAAATCTTCAACAAATATTTGTAAACGTATGAACTCAACCAATATGTTCACCTATCATCGAACAAGGTTTAGAACATGCCAATATGGTATTTTTTTACATCTTTCTGTTGTTAGTTGTTATTATAGGCGTTCATTGTAATGATGTGGCGACAAGAATGACCAGCGTTATTATGCCTATCTTGACCGCAAAACGATTCGATATTTCGACTCAAATGAACGATAGTAGTTTTCAATACTACTGTATTCACAGTTGCCTGTTCATGATTTGACCTTTCGTCAGTGTCACTAACCGAACATTGTTTCAAGCCGACTGTTGAGAGGTTTGGTTGTCCTTGCTGCCGAACAGACGACCCGAGACGCTTCTGTGGGGGTGGTAGGTTGCTTCGAACATCGGAGACTCGAAAGTCGCGTACGTCTACAGAGCATATATTGACCTACAGAATACTCAATAGCGATATGTGCCTAGGTAACCTTACTGATATGGATGATCTGAATACATGCTCCAGCCATCTCCTAACGAGGCCACCATAAGGCACACTATAAGGCTTGCCTAATCTTGCCCTATTTCTTGTTTTTTGAATGTCGTAAGAAGCGAAATGTGTTTTTCACAGCTTTTGTTCCGTCTAGCGTTGTAAGCAAGATGTACAAACAAATTGACATTACACTGACCGACAAGGCCACACCATAGGCCCCTGCTGATCTACCTGCTAAATGTTATGCCGAGTACGACTAGGGGACGTCTACATCTGAAAGTTGATGGCGAAAGCGCTCGTTCATGTATCTTACTTAGTAGCGCCAGCACAAAATTGCAACAGGTCATTCACGGTCCCTTCGACGGGGTGGCTTATCCTTACATCGCCTTTTTTTGCCAGTTTCTTAGTTTCCCTAATCTCTTTTTCTCAAGCTATTCAGCCTTGTATTCCCCTCATAGCCATCCTCTCCAAATGTCCCCGTACTACGTTACCGTTTGCCAGACTCTGAATTGCGAACCCCTCTGTTCAGTTCATTCATGATGCATTGACCTTGATCTCTTCTGCGAAATGGGGAAAGACAAGCGGGGGTTTTCTGGATGTCGCGGCGGGGCCGTGTTTCACGATGACACTCTTGTCTCTCTATATGATTCCTTGTCGACAGATATACAGCCAGCACTTCTTCTACTGCTGCGACGGCCCCACGTGCCGGCCAACGTTGGTGTGGCTGCCAATGGCGACACATGTGATGCGAAGCAAGATTGTGTGGCGCCTAGCCGATTGTCATGCTGTCACGATGTCAGCAGCTTGCTAGAAGTTGATTCTATCGGCTGTGGTCGCTGCTGGAGTTCCGGTGGAGCCTGTCGAAGGCGTCCCTAGCCTAGCTGGCGTCCTGGACCCGTAGTCCGGACTCAGTCGAGAGGTATCGGCTAAACACTGCCGTGTTGTGGGCGTTGACAGACTCGGAAATTACTGCCACTGACCACGACTACGGTTACGGACCGACTCAGCCGATACGAGTTCGGCTTCTGGCAGCTGTGGCAAAGAGACTGACCTGATCTGACACTGTGTCTCCTACCTACGTACCACCTCCTACGAACCTCTGCAATCGAAGCCAAACGAATCGAGACGAATTGAGACAACTGATGAAACCCAACTGATGATGAGCGCAGACAAACGAAATCACTACACACGTCTCATCAATCAGCAACATTCAGCCTGTGTGTGTGTGTGTGTGTCCGCAACGCGAGACAGTTCTGTCATGCTGACAGCGTGGGATTGTTGTGTGGCTGGCAGAACCTCGTCGGCTTAACATACGACTTGGACACACGGGGATTCGAGACGTGATGGCGTTACTGAAGGTGTCGTAGGTGTCATATATACTATATATTACGTTCATTATATCTTCTACTACTACAACTACAGCTACAATCAACCACAAGCAGTACAAAGACAACAGCTACATGTCCCTGCCATTTCCCCATTTAGAACTGTTGCCCACGTTAGCCCAGTTCGTTGCGCTAAAGAACTTGAAACTTCAATCGTTCATAGAAAAAGTTCAATACACCACCACCAGCCAACAATTCTCGTTAACCTCCATTGTGGCTTATATCTCTCTCTTTCTCCCTCCCTTTCTCTCTCTATTGCTCGACCATGATGTGTTCGTTGCTACATCTTGATTCTTGACCTCACAGAGCAACCCCACCTATTCTGCCGGCTTCTTTGTGACTGAGATTGGCGTGCGAATAGTTGCAATATAGTATATAAGAGTTCTTCACAAAAAAAGTAAAATAAATTATTTTCACTTCTGAATCAAGCAAGCGAATCTACTAAGTAAATCGAATGCGTCTAGCAGATTTTCCGTTGGAGACGGAATGAAACCCTTGGCGATTGTGCGATGCTGCGATTCAAATGCAAAACCACCTCGATCACCTGTTTTAGTCTCGAATACCTGGAAAAAAGATAAAACAAATAACACAGTATCTATTCCATCATCAATCAGACAGCGGAATATCATTTAAGACCTAGACGTTCCTAGCAGATTGTACGATCTATGCTGACGAGTAGGATGACGAGGTTAATCTTTGCTATCCGAAGTCGATGCACGTATTCTACAGGAATCAAACGACCGATCAAAGCGACCTCCTAAATTCCGTAGAGTCGTTATTCTCAAAGCAGCAGAAAAATAATGCCATTATTCAATTGCACATGCGTTGCAATGGAAATTCTAGTTCGGCTGCTATGCTATTTCAACACGATTGCTAGTAAAGGCTGCCATGTAGACAATACAACGCGTCCGCGTCGACAACCGTTCCAGTGTTACGACCGTCCAAGCAGTTGCTTTTGCATATTGTTCCGCGATTTTCATTAGACGATTTGTCTTTGTTCTGGTATATTCCAATAATGCATCTGCCTAGCCGCCGACTCTTTCTTCAAACTGCCGCCGCCCAAAAAACTATACAGACATTATGCCACCGCTTCTTACAGAGTCACATTTAGTAACACAAAACCTGCAGAATGCTCAAAAGCGTGGCATGACAATTTACACGGATGGAAACTGACTAACAGTTTGCTGATGGGCTGGTTGTGTTTTTGCAGCTCTGGTTGGCCGCACGAAGGTGCTGTTTATGGACGCCACTGAGGTCTCGGAAACAGAGCTTTATACCGCTATTCTTCCCAAAATGAAAACGCGTCTAAACAAGGAACTAACGTAAGATTCTATTGATGACTATAATACTTAGGTATCATTTTCAAATAAAGATCTAATTTTTATAACAAAATAATTTTTTGTTTTAAACGAACAAAGAGTATTTCTTCATATCATGCTAAGAATAAAATAGTTTCAATTTGCATTTTTTAAAGTCTGTTAATACTCTACTCTACTTTAGGTGCGGAAAAGACAACCCGTCGACGACGGCTGTTGGTGTCGTGTTAGCCCGGGTTAGGGACATCGTCTAAGCTTTGAGCCGCTCTCTCCAGGACAAGGACTTGAGTAGGCAAAGTCACTAGAAAAGCTTGCTATTAAACGCAACATCCAATGGCAGAATGTCGGCAAATACTTCCTTTAACTGGAGCCTCGATTTGCTGTATCAGAGGCATCACTAAAACGCAACGTCACTGACCTCAATGTCTGCTAAACATACTCTGTAAACTGAATGAAAACATGCCTCGCCGAACATGTACAATGAGCGGAGCATCAGCATGTGTAGAGCATTTGTATTTTCGCTAACGTCAGCGTTTATTGTGTGCTCATCTAGATGTTGTTAAACAATGAACAGACTGCGACCCGCAGGCAAGCCCCGAGTACGGCGGAAATCTGCGCTATGATATGTCTTGTCGTTGGTTTCTCCTCTAGCAAAAAACAAATAGGAGGACCCCAAAAAGAACTTAGTGTTGCTTAGAAAAGATGCGTGATTATATTTGTAGACGAATTACAAATGTGATATACACGATATATATATATATAACGATTAGTGGACAGACATACAAAGAATAGTATAAACAGGCCGAGATATGTGTATAGATACTGTTTGAAATTGAAAGTGAAGGTAAAAGCGACATTATTTTCTAAGTGGGCACCGAATAGCCTTGCGTTTCAATTTACATGCTCATGCAAGCATTTCTGTTTTTGCGTGTTTCCATCACATGCGATGTTTGTGGTGCCTAGTTAGAAGGAAAACAGCGTCGATGTTCTCGATTCTACAATATATATATATATAGATGTCGATCCTAGAATGTATGTGGAATGCCATACAAGACTATCTATTCTGAAGGTGGGCGGAGTGTGTGTGAGAGTTATGTTTTTTGGCGCGAAAGCGATGGATGGACGAGCAACAGTTGGTACGGTGGCCTCCGCAGATCATACCTGTGAGCTGACGCAGTGATACCCTTTTCCGGATCGATGATGCAGCTACGAGGTGTTGTAATTGCTGTTATCTAATGGGCGCAAATGTTATAAATTAGGGCTTGTTCATGCGCCTGTTTATACACTGCCAAGTAACTTATGGAGAAGAACAGAAATCCAATGCCGCCAGTAGATGGCCCTGTTTAGTGGTTTGAAACAAGGCCAAATCATGTAGTTCATCAAACGAACTCTTTTGTAGCAAACAACGGAAATACAAAAACACCGATAAAGGACTATAGGCATGCTTGTTCCTGATATCACAGATCTCACACTTGCGTCTGATATAGCGGTGCTTCCCGCCTATGAAATCACCCCTTAGGTACACTCTAAATTCTGTCAGGAGATAACTTGGTATCAGGTCTATCGGTAACGAAGACTTCTCTGACAAATTTTCCGATTAAGTTACTTTAACCAGTAGCCTTTTACGTGTTCAGCATAAACTTCAAAATGGGTTCCATGGTTAATGATTCAACATGTAGAAGTTAGCCTACAGCCTATTTCTATAAAATGTATACTAACTTTTACATATGTAGATAAATCTCGCGAAGAATGACTCAAATTCGATTTTGAGTTTAGCATGCAAAACAGGCATACTTCATGCTCATCGTATCTGTACTGAGATGAATGGTTTGAGCTGGATTTTTCTGTGATGATTATCTGTTCTCCAAAGGATACTGAAATTCATCAATGAATATCTACGGTATTGTGTCTTTATTCTAAGATTACCACTTCATAATTCATGAGCAGCCGTTGAGACACATTGAGTATTAGTTTTGTTTTTTGCACAAAACATGTGTCTCTACGATCTGCGAAATATTCATCTAGCTATCGGAAAATATAATTGGCTCAACCATTATTGTATAAAAAACGAGAACCATCACTATTAACTTAATCATTATCATTAGTACTGCCTTGTTCAGCTCCATTTCTCGGCCACAATACCTCTTGCTATTGGCTTGAAAAGGGACTCTCGTTAGTAAGGTCACCTATTGGGACACCGTTATGACACACACACAATATATTGGGTGGCTCATGGTGGCATTCGTCTGTTGTGTAAATAATATATTGGCTGAGGTATATTTCTCGCTGAATATTGGTTGGCGTCGGCCAGCCCAATTTGCATTAATAAATAAAAAAAAAGAAGTTATACTTCAGCGTGATATTATACATACAATAGTAAGACCTCAGTATTACTGACCAATCTTCCGTTGAATGTTGAAACAGATGGAAAAACATTATACATTATATATAATGGCATAAATCTAGATTATTTTAGATTTACGTAATCCATGTCAATTTATTATTACTACTATTAAGATTATTTCAGTATGACCGTGTAATGACACTTACATAGATTCAATGTATCATACAACTATTTAAATACATAAAGAATTATAAAAATCGCTTGTTGGCGTCGTCTTAAGTATTACTGAGCAGATAAATACATGAAAACAAATGGTGGAATTTATAAAATATGAGATTCAATTAAAGAAAAATCGTAAAGGTAAAATTCAACGAAAGTGAGAAATAAACATAAAGAGAAAAATAAAGAGAATAAATAAAAAGAGAAGGAAACTTAAGACGACGATGGCAGTTACAAGTCCGATTCCGACCCATATTCATGAATAAACATAGAAAACATCAAATATACATATATACATGCATATATGATTGTTGGCATTCTGTTACAATGTACACATGATTAATTAATTATAACAATATTAATAATAAATTTTGAGAAACTGTCGAGCCCTTGTGTTTTCATATCTTTTCTTCTACCTAATTTACATTTTCGAACACAGAGCACTTAACGCTTAAAAAAATGATGACTGAGGTCACGTTAGATAGATAAATCTGATTTTAGGTTTACGTAATTATACTAAACGTTTTTAAGATATCGTAGGTAGATTTAGTTTAGTGGACTACTTGAAATAGGAAGGCCAACAATTTTGTAAGTTATTATTTGATTATGCTTCATTTATCTAATGGTTCGTCTTGTCTACACTGTCACGGAAGCCCAACAACAATATGCGGGTCACATATTTCGCGCGTGGTAAGCCGATTCTTAACACTTCGAGAAGTGTTTTGTCATTATTTGCATTTGCAATGGCCGCTTTTTCACGATTTAATTATCGCGACCGGGCCTTTTCGTCGACACCAACCACCACGCTTTTCGTTGCCCAGCAGAAGATTGCGGAGAGGATCGATTTGTGTTAAACACGATGTCGGTACTTGGAGACCTCACAGGTCTGTATGTACCTTTAGCAGCTCGACATGTTTCTCTGCTTTTTGTTTCCATAACGTGACTATCGATTTTTCCTCTGGCCTAGACACTGGTATCCAGCGTATTCGCTGGTATTGCAGTAAACGGACGGCATAAAAGATCACAGTAGAAGCGGCCCGGTAAACTGGTACAGAGTGCTTTGTCTCTATGGGTTTTCTAGAACTGTGCTGCCATAACGATAGCGGCTTGAGCGCTGCGGCGGTAATCTCTTAGCGGAGTCATCCAACGGCAGCCACAGAGAAGGTTATTGCTGTCGAGTATGCCGAGTTATTAATCGATTCCATCTCTCGTTGAAAGTAGTGCGAAACAAAGGTCTACATCTGAGTAATCTTCTGTTCAAAAAAAAATTCGAAAATAGTACCTACAACTTCGCTCAGTGAGAAATATGTGCTGGAATGAAATGTGGGAACAGCTATAAAGAAAACAGAAAAGAGACAGCAGAGTGCTGGAAGAGTACTTTTGTACAAGTTTCTTTAACGAGAACGGAAGTGTAGAAGTTTCCCTCCCCCCAAAAGAGGAACAGGCTTGATCGACGCGCGTGTAAGTGAATTGCCGTTACTATAAATAGCGTCAGCAATCGGTGAACAACATATCGTCATGTTTGCTGTTAGGAGACTTTTCCAGGCTGCTGCTTTGCAGGTAACAAGAAACAACGTGATGGACTGCTTATGACAAGCTATAGATTATAAGATGCATGGGAAAGGGGAATTCGAATTACCGCCTATATTAGACTTAACATAAGTTTAGAGGTGGCACGGACTATATTTTGCAGATACTTGACTATACGCTGAAATTGCAAAATACGAAGAAGGCACACTTAACTTTGAATACGGTGTCAATTTTTCTAAGTATATTCAAATTAGAAGTATTTAGTCATTAAGAGACACACATTAAATGCCACGCTGTCGAGGACGTTTTCAGATACACCAATACTGTGTGTGCGATTGATTTTTTTTGCCGTTTGGGAGCCGAACTTATAACTAGGAAATCCCAGCTTTAACCTTCGACTGAAAAGAATTAAAATTTTTTCAGTTGTTCGAGATATTAATTTCAGCTTATCATTACATATTGTAGTATTACACATTGGCATATTTGAAATAGATACTACTGTGCTACAGTGGCTATTGCCCATTGTGGAAGTATCCGCGCTGAGATGTCTCACCCCTTACAATCCGTTGTTATCAATACTGATACATTTGAGAGGCCTGTTTTTACCATTCCTATTGAGGTAAAAATCTGAGTCGATGCCAGCATCAAGTTACTTATTTCTAGAAACATCAAACGTTTTTGTTACGCAATAAAATACGTTGCATTTTTAACTTCATTTAGTCTTGAACTGTCATGGCAATTAAATGATTATGATATTTTAATATAGTTTAATTTAGCAAGTTTACGTATCTCTTATGATATGAAAAGCACGATGTTTCAGATTATTTCTTTAAAACAGGAAGTTATTTGCATATTTCTACGCCTGCTTTGCCGACCAGTCTGATTCGCGCAGGTTGTTCAATGCTCATCGAATCTGGGAACATTTAGTGCGGTATTTTTTTTGCGTTTATCTGTAAGACTATAGAATTAGATTTTTTTGATATGCTATTCTTTACGTTTCGTTTGCTTGTAAAAACGTTTATCGTATTCTTCAGCGATCTTTTCAATACACATTGTTAATTAGCATATGTATGAGAGTAAACTAACCAAACTTACAAAAAAACTAACAAAACGTTTTGACGAATTTATGGACTGGCCATTACGATTTATAAGCATTTACAAGATTTTACGTATTAGAAAAAATTAACTTCTTCTCGTGCTAGAACTTAACATTTTTTATTGTTTCCACTTGAAGCCTGCTCAAGCTATCCAACAGCGACCACTCTAGAGATGGAGCTTAATCGCTAAATGGGCAATAACAAAAAAATGGGTCAAACGACTTCTGGTCTGATATGTGACTTACCCTGTTTAGACTCATCATAATTACATTAGGACAAGTACTCAAAAGCAGCCAAAAGACAGTCAATAATCTCATACTAAGGTATTAAGTTTTTACTGCTGCCATTTAGCGATCTCGATACCATTTATCTGATTTTTGTATAAAAGGAAGCAGCATAGGATTGAAAACTTGGGTTGTTCCTTCTATTTCATGAAAGGAGGAACAGGCAAACACTAATTTATCTCTTGCATGCTTGTAATAAAAATAGGAATTTATTTAGCTTCTACATGAAATATTCCTATATTATAGAATATCATAGAAAACCTAATTATTATATATTCAACGTGTAGCACAAGATAGGGGTGTATATGAAGTCACTACCGAAACCTTCTAGCTATTGCGGCGTTCTTTCGATTCAAATTTCAATGGTGTCATAGATGCTGATCTTCTAAACAAATTCCGCTATATCATTTTTACCTCTAGAAAGACTAAGTTTTCGCGGCGACTATGAAAAAGACGTTAACCCTTGTAAGATAGTTTCACGCCACGCATTCCTAGAATCTGTGATAATGTTATTGTAAAATGAGGGGGCGGTGTAAATGTTTGGTAGTATAAATAATTCGTTTGATGAGACTGCCTTTGCGAGGTCGAATCAATTTCTGCAATCATTTTTGAAAGATATTGGGCACGTCAGCTAATTGGCATATTATTTAACGTTCGACTTAAAACGATCTTGTATTTCCAGATAACCCGTCATCAAAATATGCACCAAACAGCAGCAGCTCTGTCTAAAAAAGAGTTTGATGTCACATTTGTTAGGGAGAACGGGGAACGCATCACGACCAAAGGAAAGGTACACGATTGACCATAATCAACATCTATTTATTCTACTAAAACTTTCTTCCTCTGCACTTCCTATGGAAAGTCAGTACATAGTGCACGTGTTGCATAAAGAAGTTGAATGGCTGTATTTTGAAGAGGTCGATTTAAAAAATAGACAAGCGCAGTAGGTGCATCGAAAGCTTAATCTGTTCTTTGCAGGGAAACGTCGAAGGCCATACAGGACTTACGAAGGCAGTAAGCAGCTTATGAGATAAGCTCGATTTTTAGGTTATATGATCTTGAATGGTATTGCCGTACTTATCAATAAGGTGGTCAGCAAGATGCATAGTAAACGTTTTTTTTAGCGTAGCCCATGCAGTGAGAGGGAGGCGTATTATCATGCACACGCTACAAGCACTTTCAAGCCTTATTTGCCCATTGAATATGTAATCCAATGGAACTGCATTGTTCGGAAGGAGCAATCAACCTGTTAAGAGCATTTTTTGACTAACTTAACTTGAGTAAGTCTCTGGGTGGAAGTTCGGCGCGATTCTTTGCACTGCTTCAAACATCGCTAAGAGCGTGAAGACATATTTGAGTGCAGTGTTATTCCGAAAAGAGATCGCTGGGGTTTGACTGGGATTTCAGTAAGATATTATCATATGCTAAAGTAGTTCTTGTAAGCCAATCTTGTGTTTGCAACATAGGGATTCTATAGCGCAATGATATTCCGTTAAAATACCGTTTTCTTTTCTATCGGAAGTATATTGACTTTTAAGATCATCATAATGTGCTTGTTAAAGACGAGAAAAAAACTTGTTTTGTAAGTCTGTAATGATGATCGCACGGTTTTACATTTCTGTGATGTTGTTTAAAAAGGGGTCAACCTAAAACGCCTAGTTAGCGATGGCGGCGAGTCCTAAGAAGCCCTTGAACTTATCCGCGTCAGGTTCATTATAGTAACAATTAATAATTTAGTCAGTCTAAAATTATGACGCAATTTAGCTGGGAAAGGGTTTAGGAGATTAAATGCATATATACTAAGAGTATCCTGTCGATGTGACACTATATATGCGTGAATATATACACGCTTTATACCACGATGTGTGAAGTGTTTATGGAACAAGCCTTCAGTAAGTCAGTGAACGATGTGTGTAAACAATGGGTTAGGCCATTAGACACTCATATTAGGCGAGAGTTAAAATCTGTTTGCGCCGATATTGTTTCACTAAACGCGTATTGCTCATGACGCGTTAGGCGTTCGAGTATATTAATGAGAAAAATAGATTATTTTTACGCTTTCATTTCGTTTAATATGGGATATAAAGACGAAATATTTCTCTACAATATTTTAGGTTACGACGCGCAAGACTATTCTAAAAGAATACAAAACTATGCAAGCTGAAAGGTTAACTTGAGTCTGTATTCCAATTTTAGGTCGGAGACAGTTTGTATGATGTTGTTATTAACAACGACATCGATATTGATGGATTCGGTGCTTGCGAAGGAACTCTAGCCTGCTCAACGTGCCATCTAATCTTCAAGGTTGGTATTCTTCAATTCCTATCAATATGTTATTGATATCGTAAATGTATGGAGGCTTTTTTCTAACAGTTAAAAAAATAACTGTTCTATTTTTTCGTATTTTTTCCTCAAGTTATATCGTTTCTTGGGGTAACATTACTAAGAAAGCGTATGCGTTAACGGAGAAAAAGTTACCGGTGAGTTCGTACAAGTCGCTTGACTCTTGGAGTCTTCAGTACGTATATGCCTAAAAGTAGTAGATATGTATGTGATTGCAATAAAAGCAACGATGGCTGTGGTCATTAGATCATTAGGCTACCATAGAATATGGTTACAAGATAGTATTATAGGAATATAAAAATTATATTAAAGTGCACAGTTCAGTCCGCTAATTAGCGGATTTAACTGACTACACTTCTCCTATTACACTCGAGACATGTCCAGATTGCTCAGTGACGTGTCTATATCTATCGATCTTTTATTTTCAGCCAGAGGACTACGCAAAACTAAAGGAAAAGCCCACAGACGAAGAAATGGACATGCTGGACTTAGCTTATGGGCTGACAGAGACGTCACGGCTCGGTTGCCAGGTACTACTAATCACTTTGTTAATAGAGAAAATTGTGTGTGGGCTTATTGCCTTGTGTAAACAAAGAAGGCTTTCTTAGTAACTGACCATATTCACCAAACCCTTGAAGCCGCTATTGCTTCCAACATTCGTAGTATGTTTAATTTCTTATGGACAACTTATTAATAAAATACAAGTAAAGCAGTTACTAACTAGACGTGATACACGAGATGGGAGTGAAATTTACAAAAACATATGAATTCTTAAGTTCTGAAAAAAAATCTACACTACAAGTTCCAGCTGCATTTGTACTTGTAATTCACCTTATATATGCCGGCCTCCTTTGCAGGTATTCCTTACTGAGAAAGAATCTGGGATGGAGGTTCAGATTCCGGCTGGAGTCAACGACCAAAGAGCTGCTTGATTTTTCCTCTAACAATAGTATTTTCCATAAGTTTCGGATATTAATTACATATATTATAAAGTGGGCTATAAAGCACACTTGCTGCGAAAATTACTGCCAGTATAAGCATGTGAGTGAGGTGGTCGTCTTTTAGTACCATGTTCACAAGCTATAGTGTAGATGCAGGTAGTCCTGTTTTAAAGTGCCTATTTTAGAAAGATTTTATACATGTGTAATAAACAGTTGTTAATTCCAATTCTTAAAATAAGAATTTTACTATTCGTAACGAGGAAAAATTTGTTTCGTGGGTCTTGCTTCATTTGAATCAAATCGTTTAATAATAAACTAGAAGTGTTTGAGAGAAAAATGTGTGTATATATATGAATGTATAGAAATATCTTGTCAATTCAGTGATTAACATACTTGTCAATAAAGTTATTTTTAATAGACTTCAATAGAATGATATGTAACTGGGAGACGATTGCGTGCTCTGTTGTTTTCTTTAAATATTTAGGATTCAAAAGATTATATATATATATATATATATATATATATATATATATATGATGGATGATACACATCATAATAATAAATGACCACATAACGTAACAGTTAGCAAAAAACCCATTACTTTACACTGTATTTTTACCATATTTTGGCTTCGTGCAACCGTATTCGTAATCAGCAATACAAATATTTCCGAGTTCTTTTACGTCTGGTACCATTCTACATGAGCCTTGTTTCAGAAGGCTAACTCTCGGCAAAGAGTGTTTACGTCCGGCTTCTAGCTGACACCAGCACCACACGCTCCTGATTTCGGTTAACAAAGGCGTTACCACTACACAAACACTGTACCTGGCCAGTGGCATAAAACAGGCTTAACGGTACAGAAACCCAGCTCACGTTACGGGTAGGAGCAGGTCAGCCAGTTTTTCTCTTGCTTTTTAGTAGAGGTCGTTTGATAGGATTTTTCACGTCTGTAAAAAGTTGGGTATGCAAAAAGAGGTCACCTGCAGTTAAGACAAAACAATAAACAAATAGAATATCAACAAAGCACACAGTGTTTCTTAAGATTAGTGATACCGAAAAAAACGTGTGATCTCCGTCATTATCATTGTAATGCGGTGTTCTTTACACTCGGCTAATTTTGTACAAGGTTAAGGTAGGTAGGTTCTAGCGTCCCCTTTTCCACAACTCGGCAACGCCATGCGAAAGTGGAGATAAACATCTTAACAACCACTAAACATTTGAAGGTTCGACAAGTCGCGTTGGCTATAAGCTTGATGTCTCTACGAGTGCGTCTCAAGCAGTCGAAGATAAATGGCATATATTTTCGTACAGTGATGCATTCCTAGGCATCCTATGTCTACGATTTTTTGTAAAATGCGTAACGTCGGGTGACACACATGTTTCGATGATTCATAACCTATTTTTAGCAAAGCTACGTGTCGTTTGTGAGTTTGCCTCTGTTCAAGCACACTGAGTCCAGTTAGTAGTGTGTTCCTAATATTCTCATCATTGTCTTCATGGTATCGTCGACTCGATGAGTGTCGTCGGCAATACAAGGGTCAAAACAATGAATTGCAAGAATATCTATGTTCGTCTTTCTACGGCTAATATCTGTAAATGTGCTAAAGTCGTTTGCATGATTAGGCAAATTAGCTGTTATGAATAAATAATAATAGTCTTAACTACTGCATGAGTGTGATATTATCGGCAATGACAACGGCAAAAAGTATGACTTTTTTGTATTTAATTTCAGAAGCAACGAGTGAACCTGGTAGTATTCGCACGACTATGCGTTGCCCATTGTTAGCTGCTAAGGTAATGACTTATGGCTATTACGAAGGTCTTGATCACTCAAGATGAAATCAGAACAACGCCAATGGACGTGAACGTGTCTCGTTGATCCCGTAGCGCAAGTCACAAAATCAGTTTGCAAGGAAGTCTACACAGCAAAGACCATTCATGTAAAACACTACGACAAGGATAATGCGGTTTCACAGGTAACAATCAACTTCCATAAATAGCTCGTATTTTCCTAAGGAATTTACCTAAAAACGTTCAACAACGTTAATTTAAGGAGTATTAACATCTATCATTTCCACCTGATGGGATAGGTTTACCTTTAACATCTAAGGAGGTTATTTGCACACCAGCGGACAAATGACTGCTAAAATTTCCCTTTAGTGTCTCTTTGAAAAACATCTATACTGGAGCATTAATTTTTTGGTTTCTGTGCTTTTTTAAATTCGTCTGTCTATCGCATCTGTCACCGTACCAATTTTTTCTAATTTAATCCTGAATTTTCCTATATGAACTTGAAACTGGGAACCGCTTACGATTATGATGCTAATGCACGATCTGGTAGCAGAGAGTAATCGATGGCGGTGTACAAACAAGCTGCATGATAGTTCGGCTTTGTATTCGACTTACACGTAAGAGCGCCTTCGCCACCAGCGCTGATAGCCCGCTCTACGAAGTAACATGGTCTAGGTGTAGCTAAATGAAATTGAGTTAGGAATATACTATGTGTGGACAAAACCTCATATGAAGTAGCAAATAAGCATATGTTGGTCAACACATTACTCTTCATGTTCTAGTTACATCCATTCAAATTCTATGTAAATCCCTATCTGTACTTCTTTTTAAAAGCATGTTTTAATATGAGGTACACCATAGCTAGAAAAACGTAGGCTTCTTATCTCCCTTATCTAAATTCCCTTCCTATTGGGATATCGAATTTGATTTATTCACCTGTAGCTGGTACTAGTCAAAAACTTCGTATATACAGGTCACCAACATCTTAATATCGAACAGAGAATATATGGAGCCATCTATAACATTTTGCGTCATATGGGCTGTATGATTCTTGTTTAACTTAGAAAGCTAATTTGAGAGATTATCAAATGTCTCAGATAATAAAATCCTACCCTAACGATACGCACCGGTAACGAACGACGTAATGCCTATCGTATCATGCTTCGTTGAAGCATGGCATTAATTATGTCATTATAGCAAGCAAGTAGATTTTATTCGTACTTGTCGTGTGGGACATATTCTTTTTCTACACACTGTTATTTAGATTCTCTAAATTTCTACATTTGTAATCAGCAAATTCGCAAATAATAACCGAATATATATTTATATCATTATTTTCATGATATAAATATATATTAGGAGTCGATAGTGTTCTAAATCTATGTATCACAAAGGACGGGCGACTCATTGGACTGGTTAATAACATTTTCATAAAGAATTGAAAGAACCGAGTGTAATAAAGGTGCGCTCATACTAAAGCTACCACGTTCTGCTCACTGCTGTGTGTGAATGACGCAATTTCTTACCTTATTGGAGTATGCAAATCGTCTTTCGAGTGTAGTAAATTAATTTAGGAAAATCGAATTATCTAATTTCTGACTCTCTCATTACCACACTCATCAAACGCTTCCTGTACGTCAGAAACTATTTCCGGCAGAATTTTAAAAATTGAAGAAACCTTGAAGAACCTTGTTATTGTTACCAAGTGGTCAAAGAGTTTATCCCGCATAATATTATAGATTAAACTTTATTAAGCAATTGGTTTGTATCGCTATTTCAAACCTGATTTCTCTATGGATCACAAACGGGTCAATGGAGAAAAGTTGAACTGAGTTAAAGAGAAGTAACGTAATCTGCTTTTAGGGTAACGGGCTTGTAAGGATATAATTTTTTATAATGCCCTTTAGGCCAGTGTCAAACGAATAAAAAAGGGGATATTTTTCCGCATCTAATTAGTCTTTCTAAAGGATTATAGTACAAGAACATTAATTTATAGTTATAAATGACAGAAAATATTTCTTCTGACCTTTGCTAAGTTCTGCAAAAAAATTCTTACCTATAAGTATACGTTTGTTGAAATCAAGTTGGTTGAAATCTGCTGTCGTTTTCTACAATGTAGGGTTCATGTTGTTTCATAGAGTAACAATAACACTATTTAACGTGCGGATACAATAGCTTCTAAAAACTCAAATATCTACGTGAGAAGTTGCAAAAAACCAGTTGACTGTTCTCCGTAACGGGGTTTCAACAGCAGCAGCAGCTAAAGCTCGTCAGCGTGTGCTCGAGAAGGCTAGCGAGAGCTAGCCTTCTCGAGCACACGTATCTCTCCGTCCGCGATTGCGTTTGGCTGCTCAGTAGATTCGGAACGATTTCACCAGCTGCTACTCGTTCAGTGCTATCGATGAGCCTAGTTACAGTTACAAGGCAGACAAACAAGCATGTTTCCCTCTCAGCGGTGCGCTACTGCCGATGAGACAACTGGTGACCTTCACTGTATGCACGGCCGCAGCTGGCTTGTTACGCACCATACGACCAGACATGCAAGAGTTAAGATATAGTGGGTCGGCAAGACTAAGCGCGTTACGGACTCAGACAGAAAGCGGACAGTTTTCGTATAGCAGCCTACCTCAGTCGAGCCTAGCTAGAACACGTCGGGCGCCATCTATCTACTCGGCGAGTGATAGTGTATCGTGAGTAAAACAGGTCAGACGTCTATGCGTAGAGTACTGCAGAGCACAAAGGACAGAAGACTCAGCTAAGAGTCTGTAGAAGCACAAACGACTCACGTCGATAAAGCAGAATTAAAGAAGCCAGAGGAAGCATTGTGTTTCTAGAGAAGAGCGTGTCGTATGCACAATACCGTAAGCGATATTCGATAGGATTATAGAGATGAAAATTCGTATCAGCGACAACAAGTCGTTAACTTTCGTCCGCAAGAATGAGTGAGGTGTCAATAAGTCGGATATGTACGCATCGCACAATGATGTTTGGCCAGACTCTACATGTAAATTTGTAGCACGCTGACGGCGATTTTTATATAACGCTTGTATGAAACATCGTGTAGTTTAAAGACGTGAAGTGACCTTAACAGGCGATCTCTTGAAAAAGATCTGACGAGACCGATTTTATTTGTATGCATTGAGATAGTTTCGATCAAACGATGTAAAGATGTCGTTGACAAAATCCGATAAAATGCAAATCTGAAATTCCCACTCAAATTGACAACAATGGGAGTTATTTTCCCACGATCGGGACGAGTTGGCTTAAACGAATTACGTGTATTTCGCCTACAGAATAGGTGTTCTCCGGTTGCGAAAACAGTGGTAAATAAACGATGCCTTATTTGCACAACAAATAACACGAGAAGTTCACATTCAACAGATTAAACGCTTCCTTCAAAAAATGGCTCAAAGAATTTTCCCCGTAAGTTCGGCCTGACGCAAAATCGAAAGATATTAAAAATACATTTTTTTTCAAGTATTATACTAAATACATCTATGCTCAACATGATAGGCGTAAAAGTACAAGATCATTGGTACAGGGTATGGAATCCCTGTTTCAGGATTAGAGGAGGATTAACACGCGGTGCTATCGAGGTATCTGCATGAAGTGAGAAGTAAACAATCGGAACACGACAGCAATGCCTAAGACATTATGATTCCATTACTAAAACAGGTTATTGAAATAAATAAATCAAAACACAATGAAATAACGGATTGACTTTGTCAATGTCGGTGCACTAAAACAGAATGATGAAAAAACTGCAATGAGAAAGTAATAATCGACTAACAGGATACGATAAAACAGCAATAGAGTCTCAATTATTATTTCACCTTTGTTCTTGTATATTACATCATGTCTGCAAAATGCTGGTTTCACACAATGGTGCGTGTACAGCAGCGGAGATTATGGATAAGGTTCCCAGCTGTCGGCTAGATACTGGCCGTAACCGTTATGTCCTGATCAAGATCTACGTGGACAACGATGAAGAAAAGGGTCGATACATTATCCGGGGATCTTCTCTAGCTCCTGACCACAAAACGATCTTTGAAGGCGAGGAAGAAACACTCAAAAAGCAGAGTAAATGTTAATCAGCTACTTTTTAGCTACGTGTTATGATGTGTTACCTGTTATTATAATTGGTGTTTTGTGTATAATGCAAGTTTTTTTGACATAAATGTGTCGACTGCTGTTAGAATTATAGTAACTAGAAATTGCTACTACTAACTTGTGTTGAGCCCGGTCTTAGGCCTTGCTTTTGTCGGCGCAGCTAACATGATCGGTAATATAACAAACGGTAAAATGGCATAATAGTTATCGTTACTTTGTAGCTTAACGAACGTGAATCAATTACAAACTATGCACGGTCTTCTGTTTAATTTAAAGTCAAACTGCAGTTATCAAGAGAAATCAATGTTTTAGGTAACTCACCTGTGCCTTTAGAATCAAACTGGTTACATGTTATTATATGCTGTAGTTATTAGATTTTGTTTATTATTTATTATGGAAAGAATAGCTCGGGTTTGAACCAACAGTTGTTCTTTTAGCGTATTAACGAATTTATTTTGTGTTACACACAACTGAACATGAATTATAACCCGATCGCACAAAAATACCCACACCTAAGCCTGTCGCACTTATTTCGAAAGTCTCTTGCATTAACTCGTTGCAGCTCTTAGGGTATAGTTCCTACTTTTTTTATTCAATCAAGGTATTAGTGATCACATTTCTTGAAACAGTTATTTTAATTTATTACTTTTGTTCATAAATAAATGTTTCGAGTTTTTGATTCAGCACAGAACAAAGTGCATTTGTGACCGGTTTGTGAAAATCTATTAGATTATCAAAATTATGTTGCCTTGCTATCCTATAGAAACGTTGTTGTACCCCCAAAACTTTGTTACACTGAGCTGGCTCTTCCATTTCTAATTTTAAGGCCCTTAAAAAATAAACAGAATACGATAACCGCTCAAATCTCCCGAAAAGTCGTTAACTTGCTTGGCAAAATATCGCGTTGTGGAAAAGAATGTAGCTAATGGCGACAAAAAATTGGCTAATGCAAAACCTGTACATAAGTCATTCTAGGCAGTTATAGGAATAGATACGCAGCTACATTGTTTTAGTTGCATATAAATAAACAGATAATAATAATAGGTAAACGAGTACAATGGTATAACTATGTAGTCTACGGTTTGTTTATGGCTGCTTGTTATTTTTAAATGTATCTCCGTTTAGGTGTTCGGTCTAGGCTCAACGAGACCTTTTCTCTACTGCATGATCATCGGCCAGTTCGCCTCGGATAACAATGAGATGTAGTACTGTTAATTATTTTTGGCCTTAAAGGCTTCTCTTTAGACCTTTTGTTTCGTATAGCTTCCATCGGCCGAAGGCACCTCATGTGGGCCGTGGAGATTCTTGTACAGCTCTTGTTGTGCTCAAAGTTAGAAATTAAAGTCTAAATTAGTTGTCTGCAAAAGCACCGACGTCGATTTTCTCTATTTATTCTCAAAATGTTTGAACTAACGTCAAACAGAAACTCTGTGAGCACTAAAATCGAATTTGGTACCTACGAGGGAGTGACTGACCTCTTCCAGAACCAAATTATCGTCCTTAAGACTAAGTGATTATTTACTCATACAAGGGTATACACGGGCACCACACAGTCCACCGGTCGTCGATTAACGGTGGACGCGCAATTAGAGTGGATTAGAGTGGAAACGCGCAACGACTGGTTACCGTTATAAGCATACTAAGCTTCAGTGTGCGTAAATTCGTACAATTTCATATATCACAAATGTAAAATGAGAACTCCATTTGCTATTTAAATATTTTTAAGGTGGCATGAACTCGCGTTCAGAAATGTTGTTTTTTTTTGAATCAGTTGTTTGCGTTAGTGAGACATTTTTAATCCGATTCTATGCTGAAAATGCCGATTTACCTTAGATGCCAAAAACAAACCGAACTGTGCTATTTTTTTATTTTGTAGTTTTGACAGAAAGTATTCGCGACGCCAATACAATGAGAATAGTTATCTAACACTATTGCGAAAGCGTGCTAAATGCACTGGATCATCAAAGCATTACTATCAACTGAGAAAAATCGTGCGACCCCATCGTTCCTACACAGAACGATAAATAGCGCCGTTCTGTTCCCTGAAAACAATTATGGATGCTCCTACTGATTTACTTTGTTTGAGGATACTTGTATTTTGTTGGAAGTAGATATTGTAGGTCATTACGGAGACACTTTGAGCAGACAGAGAAACAACAACCTATTTTTCGATATCTCTCAAGCCCTTCGTGCTACAGATCTTTTAGGTCTCTCGCCGCCTGCTAAGCCATACAACGTTTTCAATTCTATATAGATCCATAATAGCTGACTAATTTCGTGTAGCGATTTTGTGGATGTGTGTACAAGATGTGTATCAACATAGAATAATACTTTGCTTTTTCAACTTTTTCTTGCTACATACCACTCCTTTTAGTCCTTTTTGTCTCTTATCGTATATCTTTAATTTTTCCGGTTGGTCACCATTATTAGATTTTCTATTCCATAAAGGTAGTAACGAATAATGTCATATCTAATTCTAAGACGCAGATCCTTTTGTCTCTAGAAAATTTATTTTCAATGTATTTTTCGCGTAAAGTGAATGCTGTTTTGCTTCTGATAATGAATTGCACATAAAACCAATCAGCTTACTCAACCCACCTACCTTAGCCAATTGTATGCTCCTTAAATATAAGAATACAGCTGGGTATCGTAAAATTTGGCGAAATAACTAAGACTCCGAATGTGCCTTTTTCAGATATCGACTGCGATTGTTGCGGTGGAGGTTATATCGTTCTTTCGTCCGAGGACAAAGAAATCAGGGTATAAACACCCAGAAAATCCACATACATAATAACCCCCACTTTAACCAATGACTCTGTCATGAGTCTTATTGTTTTAACCGATAGGTTTTTATTTAGAATATAAAGCATATTTTTGTTCACATTATGGCATATTATGTGTGAACCCTTCAGGTCTATGTTATTCTCAAGTAAAACGTAGCAGTTGTTTGGAGCTTAACTAAGTATTGGATTCGATTGATCTACAAACATGTTAAACAGCAGTGAATATTTTTCCTATATATGGTAGGCTTGTATAGTCGTAATTATTATTTTAACTGCACGATTGAGCCACATATAATGAAATTGTAAGATCATACACGTTCTTATTTACTGGAATGACTACTAACTGCTGCACGTCTCACATATCTCTTTAAATCTGTCTAATTCAATTTTTTCTTTCTTGTAATGGCTTTCTAGGTGTTTGGTGTGTCCCAGTACTTCGGTATGGCTGACCACGAAAAGGCTGTGGCTATCTTGTCGAAACAGTATGCTGGTCATTCGATTTCAGCTTCGAATGAGGTTACTGACCAAAAGATCAACCGAAATTCTATTCGTACCGAAGCATCTAAGATCTAAATCTTCCAGTGCGCAATATGCATATCATACACACTGGTGATCATAGGTAATTTCGCTACTATGCTTAATGAATGCCGTATCTGTAGCGGATTATAATCGCTCAGGCGATACCAGAGCGCCCGCTCCGGTGAATCCTGAACGACGTTCAATTACAATAAATTTTTACACAACCCTAGAGATGAATTATATTCAACCACCAATGAAGTGACATCTTCAGACCACCTCGTCTATCTTTGTGAATAAAAAAGGTCTGTTCTTATTGTTGTGTTATATTTCTGCAGTAGGACACCTGGAGTCGCAAGTTCTGAAAAAATAGGTGACTACTATTAAAGCCTATAGACCTATTTCTGATTGTGGAAATGGGAATGGAACAACAATCGGGAAGCAGCTTTGTTAATAGCATTTGAGATTTTTGATTTGATAATAATTGATATAAATTTGATTATCAGATCATAAGGCACAAGATAAAGGGCACAAGTCATGAAGTTTTGGTGCTGCCACTGGTATGTCCCAAACCTGTGCTATTCAGGCGCCGGCTATGCTTTTATATATTCAAATTCTGAAGAATACTGCATTGTATGATTGAAGTATTTCCAGAAATCTCAAGCAATTTGCTTATATTGAGGAAGTGGGCTGGTTCGTATGAAGAATAAATTATTGAGTTAGTGCTTTCTTTGTGCTAGAATTATCACTGGATCTTAAGTGCATTTTCAATTTTGGTCTGATTGCTTGGCTGTTTGTTGAAGTAATCTTTAGCATGCAAATTTTCCGACCTATATGCTATAACTTGACAAGGGAGTTTAAAGAAAGCGTCTTCTCTGCCGGGCAATAACCACTTGAGCACGATTCTATACACGAAACCACCTACGGCAAATAAGAGGACAGAGCACCACTATGTGGCACCAAAGTAACAATACGCAACAATTATGCGCGAACGTACGACAACGACATGGAACATAGCCACGAGCTAAACTCTGGAGCAGACGCGTCAACAGGCAGAATTTTCAAAAAACTGCTCATATTAAGGCTGAATATCAAGCAACAAGCAAAAGTTACTCATAGCTTGGTTGGCCAATGAAACGATGATATGAGCCAAACTTCCGTAACTTCGGTTCCCAGACAAACCCAGGGGCCATTTCAAATTGGGCAAGAGCATAAACAATCGAGAGATTAATCAGCAGACGTAAAATAGAAGGATGTCTGGAGCTGGTAGTAAATATGGAATGGCTTCAAAAGGGATTTGCGAAGAGTTCGTACTAAGAGTCTAGCATACGAAGTAGCTAGCGCACAGAGACTGAAATGTATGCCTAGCGAATTTCACGATTTCACCGATAAAGGCTGGGATAAAGTAAAAAAAAGCTACGTTAGAAGTTCAAGAGGTATAAGGGAAGAGGAAAAACTCTGATTAGGCTCATAAAGCAAGCCACGAAAGTGAAAGATGTAAACTGATTAATATGGTTCTCGAAGGATCACGAAGAAAATACCTCGTCATTTAACAAATGATAACGACTACAAGGATATAAAAAAAATATTTGGTGTGCTGTCCGGAACGACGGCAGACGCAGCAGAATGCTGGCAGTAAGAACCGACAACGTTGCAACTAAGAAAAAGGTCTATTATCTTGAAGAAACGAGAAATGTGCATTTATCCAGGTACACTCAGAAAACTAAAGCAAGATCAGTGTAGTCCAGACCAACACCTAGGTAAAACAGTAACAAGAATGATCTCCGTTAGCGCGAGTGTATTGACAGGCCTGGGAGTGAGCTAACGTATTACATGACCCAATTCATCACGGCACGAAAATTTTCAGTTCGACATGCACCACATACAGGGTTGCTATTTGCCTACTGCGTGCATTCAAACTCGAGCGATGAGCATGATCATTCTACGCGCAGGTTAACATATTACCTGCTGTTAGACAATGCTAGAAGCAGATCACCAACGAGAATGCCAAAAGGGCAATCTAACTAAACTAAGTGAGCTGAAGGCGTAGCCGATATTCCAGGTTTGATTATAACGCGGGCAATACAGCTCCGCCAATTGGTTCGTCTGGAGAGGTGAGGAACACAGCTAGAGTAACCCCGGTCGACTGATCCGGTGGCTCCAGCCACTTTGTCCTACCATTCTTTACGATTAATGAATCATTTCGACCTAAAGTACAAGGGGCGAATCAAGAATTTGTAAGGACTAGTATCAGCGAAAAAAAAGCGAAAAAAGAAAAAGCGGCAGTTGAACAACTGCCGTAGTCGAGTTTAACGCTAGGCTCGCATAAAAAGGTCAAACTTTTGTAGCGTCCGATCGTACGTAAACCCAAACACTAAGCGTTTAAGTTGACCTATTTTAATGTTCGGATTAACGAATGTTTTACGATGGTGGTGTGGTCCCGCCCAACCGCAGGAAACATTGAGCTCGTAGCAAACACACATTACAAACACGGTAAAGCCGATGTGAGCAAACCCCTTATGTGGGGAGGCAATCAAAGCACATTTACCAATATTATCCTTTCACCCCATAATATTCAACCCTTTACATAGGTACTTTGTCAAAGTATCCTTTATCTTAAAATATGTTCACATAAAATACAGATTAAAACATTTCTAATACTTTTGGCGGATATTCAAAATTCGATTCCACTCAGTACGCAACTGTAAGGGTATTGCGATATCTTCCATCTGGCTGTTTATTGGATGAAGCCATGCGAGAAAAGACTGATGTCCGTACGAAAGTACCTAAATCGGCCAGTTACGTCATAAAAAGGACACGTAGCTGAGGTTAGTTTTTTTGATGAAGTCGCCATAAATGTGTTAACACTGATCAAATGTCAGTTCAAATCGGATACAGAATCTTCTGCTTATATATATATATATGGATTGATGAATGATGTAATATTGATTACATTATTTACTAAAGCGAATAATGCAGTAAGAAGTATTGTCTTCTTCCCTTTAGTGGTTAGCTCCTAAGGCGCTAGCGTAGACCAAGCATATTATATATAAACGAGATTTGCTCAAACAGTATAAAAGTGCAAATTTCTTAACGAAAAACCAAGAAAAGATTCAATAAGGGCGTAAAATTGAAACGTAAATATATTAAACCATTTTAATTTTCCACAATGCATTCTACAACAGCAGATATTGGTCAATAATTCGCGCTGTTTATTTTATCCAAATTTTCCTTCCGAGCAATATGGAACCTCACGCTGAACGCTCAAAAGATAAAATTTGTTAAATTTCTGATATCCACATTCACTGAATTATACTAAATACATTCAGTAACGTCAGCAGGGTGAGAGCAGGTTTGAAGCGGGCGCGAAGATGTGGCAAAAATATGTCGACCATGTTCCGCAGCTTCTTCGTTCCGCGTCTTTTCGACGACAATCGGCGCCATATTGGCTGATGCAAGACACAATGGTGCGATTTTCTCGAAACGTGGTAACGCTCGGTGTATTGTGTGTGTGTTCCTCTCAAGCATTCTAGTCTTCAAGCAAAGTGCTATTTGTGATAATATTTAGCGGCGCTGAATTTGTTTCACAATGGCAGAAACTGAGGAAACTGGATTCGACCCTACCATGAAAAAGAAGAAGAAGAAGAAGCCTTTTGACGCAACGGGATTCGAGGGTATCACCGATGGTAAGTTAACAGTCCGGAAACACCGGTTCTAATTTAGAATAAAGCAAGGCATGTGGAACAACCCTGGGTATGGAAAATATTATGAGCGTCGATGGTAGTACCTGCCTACTTGTGTAAAAGACGAAATTTATATCTACACTTTTTGATGTTGTAATAGCGTATCCTATTTTTTTGACCATGGGAACTAAAAGAATGGTTTAGCTACAGGCGTTCATGTCCAGGAATGTAACGTGGATATAAAAATATTATTAACTCATCGGACATACGTATGTCATTTTTGTCAGTGAATTCTGTGCTTACATAGTGCTCAAGTCATAAGCAGAATTATTATATTATTATTATATGTTTTTGTCTGAATACACGATAACAAGGGAACGTTCGGTTAAGTTTTTCTGCTGCGGCAATCTCAGCTTGGTACAAAACTCTTAACAATATCATACCTTGCAGTTAAGGCGAAGTTTTAACACTTAAGCAGCGTGACGACATTAGGTTCAATAAAAGTGTAGCGATGCGAATTGATTAAAGCAGATAAAGACGGCACATTTTACATAGTGCAACCTTCGTGCCATATGGGCTAACATTTTGAAACGATTTTTCACTAATAGTGCCGTGTAAATGAATTATGTAAACACACAAATACACATCTATAATTAAAAGTAGTAGTTGGGCGTTCAATGAGTTAAATATACATATTTTATTGGCCTCTGAACTAACCTTTTTATATCCTGACTAAGAATACGATTCGATGCAGTTTGGAGCTTAAATTTACAATTCAGTTTACTAGTTTGCAATATAACCCTATGTTGTGTCTATATTCGTGAATTGCACTTCTTATCCTGTATATAGGACGCCAGGTCTTCGATTGTTTCGTTGTGTAGTTTAAATGTACCTCGTGTACCTGTTGTCAAAGTATGCTGCATGTAGGAGCTGAAAACAAAGTCTTATCATCAGATTTATTTTACCACATTACACGTTAATTGTGCTACTTTAAATAGAACAGAGGTTTCATACCGTGCATAGAAGCACCTCAAATTTTAGTGTGGAACTCTAGTACATATAAGCTAGTTTTGTACTTAGGATTATTTGGTGATTTTTGTTGTTATAAATAAAGCCATCATCAAAATGCAGTCTATAAAATCTGCAAGTAATTAAATTGTTTTAAATAAGACAAATAGCTACACTTGAGTTTAAATATAGATCGAATCCTAGTTTTTATTTTGACGGTTGTCTTACTTTTTCTGTGCTAGTAACAGATGTGTCAGCACCGGCTGGCGATGATGAGGTTGAAAAAGCGTCTCCGAAGGACGGAGGCAAAGAAGACGAAGACGACAATCTAGACTTTACGAAAATGTTGAAAAAGAAAAAGAAAAAAACCACCTTCAACTTCGACGGTTAGTAGCAATTACATCAGTTTAAACAAAACGATTATTTATTAACTATTAAATATGAACTATTAGTATGTTTACTTTGGTTATTAGATGAATCCTCAAGTACATGGTATGATCTGCTATACAGCATGCGTTTCGATATTCCCCTATCGCATTCGTTGTTACTAAAGCTTTATCGGATCATGTTACTATGTTATTTTATTATATCTATAGTCATCTTTACCTTCCTTCTGCGCAAACTCATGCTGGCAAATCTATACTCCTATATATATGATTAAGATCGGAAATTCATGATATGCATCTTTCAGATGGCACAGGAACGCCAGTAGGGGATATCGATGGCGGCAAGGCTTCACCGAACGAGAGTGGAGGTAAAGCTAAGGAAGACGAGGATTTAGACAATGTTGACTTCATGAAAATGATGAAGAAGAAAAAGAAAAAGCAGGCTTTTAATCTTGATGAGCTTGGAGGTGGGTTTTTTGCGTTGTTTTTGTTGCTACGGTATGGCAGAAAACAATAATAACAAAGATAATGATTTTTATGTTTCACTAGTTTATAAAAAAAAAAACGATGTTTTTATTTGGGCCTATATGTAACTATGCGCTGTTTTTTATGTTACATATCTCTCTCATAACTGCTCAAGGCCTTCTTTGACATCTGCTCTGATTTGAAACGTCATCTTATGTACTAACAGCAACAAGACGGCGTAGGAACACGGATTTTTTTATTTTGTTCTTATCTTAAAAAATCTCTGCATAAATTTACAAAAAAACCTAGGTATAATAGTGGCATTACCTCTGAGATCTTCTCTTATCTGGCGTAGATGCCTTGGAGGACGGGGGTGTTGATAACGCAGACGATGACCTCGATTTCAACAACATGAAAAAGAAAAAGAAAAAGAAGAAGCTAAATCTGGACGAGCCAACCGAAGAAGATTTTGATGCCGACGAGGGTAGTGCCGATACACCGTCCGCTGCAGGAGCCGGTGGTGGAAGTGACGCGTGGCGCGGTACTGATCGTGATTACACGTACGACGAACTGCTTCAGCGTGTATTCAATATAATGAAGGAACGAAACCCTGATATGGTGGCCGGCGAAAAGAAAAAATTTGTCATGAAACCTCCGCAGGTTAGTAAAGTAGTGCTGAAGTTGAACTATAAAAAGTTTCTAAATGCAATCCTTCATATACTTTAGATATCTATCATTCGTAAGCGTAGAATTTCATTATAAGTATTAGTGGTGCGGCTATACGCTAGTTTGCGCATAATTAAATTTTTCTCTAAAATGAATATCAACGGCACGAGTGTTTCAGGGCACTGCAAATGCTGACGGATTAACTTACATTGTTATTGTGAAGACAGATTTTATTTCCTTCAAGTTTCTTTTGATTGGTCTAATCACATATTTTTACAGTATAGTAAGTGAAATAATGGAAGAAAGTTTAACTGTGAGCGCACTGTTGCCAACGTGTGCAGTACAAACGTATATTTTATCAACAGTGAAGTGGCGTACGCGCTTACTGCATATCGACTCAATCCAAGGTGTCTGCGCCCTATCAAATGCTAAAATGGTTTTGCAGAAAAGGTTATGAAGGCCTCTGGTGTCACTTTGGATTTAGGTGCTTCGAGTCGGAACGAAGAAAACGTCATTCGCCAATTTCCTAGAAATCACGAGAACATTGAGAAGAGCACCGAAACATCTACAGGCCTTCTTATTAGCCGAATTGGGTACGAGCGGATCAGTCGACGCCAACAATCAGCTTATCATCAAGGGTCGCTTCCAGCAAAAGCAAATCGAGAACATTCTTCGAAGGTTATCTCGAAAACGCGAAAACATTTTTAACTGAGTATTTTAATTATTTTCTTCATTGATAGTTGTTATGAGGATATTCTGATGGCGGCATGTACGCCAGCAATTTCTTTTTTGCCCTCGCTCACGACACTTACCTCACCGACATATTAAAAACAGTTTTATTGAAGATGACTATCTGAAATTACTTGCCTGTCTTGCTTTATGTAAGAGTTCCTAAGTGTCGGAACCACATCATTTATTCGACTACATTCTTTTTGAAAGTTGCTTTATACTAATTTGTTCTTAGTTTTCTATAGACAAGCTTTGGGTCAGTCACAGAACTATATCACATTGCTAGATAAAACTTCACAGAAGAGGTCGTACATTTAGTTCTAATGTTTACTTTTAATGTGTTTGCTTGCGATCATTCTACCGCCATCATCTGAAACAGGTACATCAAGGAGTATGTTACATGTCATACCTGTCGAGCACCAGAGACTATCCTGGAAAAAGACACCAGACTGAATTTCCTCCGCTGCGAAAAGTGTGGTTCGCGGTGTTCGGTGCAGTCGATTAAGAGCGGTTTCCAGGCTGTCACGGCAAAACGTGCAGCTATTCGAGCAAAGGCGACTTAAAACTGATTTGTCTAGCGGAATTCATCGAAGGCATTAGACCGGGTTACCATAGACCTCATTGCCACTGCTCAGCTTGTCAAGCTATTACCGCTATCCATAGCGATATCTGCCGACGAAGCCAACGTGGTGACGGACACAGGATCCATGAGCGCATACGCAGGCAAAGTAATGCGACTGCAAGGACGAATAAAAAGGTTTTTCATAGGATATGTATGTGTTTTCTGTTTTCTTGTGGACACTCAGTGCGACTGAATAATGGTATTATGTTTGGGTAGATGATCCAATAAAATGCCATGTTTGGCCGAAGAACAAAATGTCAATGGCAATATTCCGTATGAGCTGATTTAGTTTTATCATACGAGCTATCATACTAAAGACTGTTGAAGTAAATTCTTTTTGAGGGTACACCGTTAACCGTCTTTTAGACCGATATTGACTGTATAGAGGTTAAAAGTTTCCCCTGGATAGCTTAGAAGAGCACACATTGCTCTGTAACAGATTTTGTACACGGAGTTTTAGGATTTATTAGACAACACGTCATAAACTAAGGGGTATTGAAAAATTAAGTTTGGCAGTTAAAAGCTATTATAAACGAAAAACAGTGTTTTATTATTTGTAACTCCGAATAAAAAATAGAATTCCTACGAAGGAACTATTGATTTAGCGAACATGCAGGACAGTGAATTTTCAGTTACTTGAAGGTTTGGCGGCTACAGTCCGGCTATTCCACGGATTCGAAGAGGGAATCTTTTCTGTATACATGTCTATTATTTTAGTCTTTTAAAATATAGTAGCTGCACAGTGCAAAAAGCATATCTTTCGTATCGTGTGTGACTGAATTATTTTTAATCAGATAAAAAGAAAAAAGCGAAAAGCCAAGCGCTCTGGAGTTATTCTGTTGCTGGAGTGTTTATTTGCTGTCTATCAATACAGAGTTGTGCTTAGGGTTAAATCCATTCCAAATGTAATATCCCGAGGATTATTTTTAAGACCCTTTTAGAGATTTTTTTTAAGTGCACCAGTACGGAATGTGCACTGTGCTTTTTGCCATCACTCGCGAATTCCTTGCACCAGTTTTAAATACAGTACTGATCGGGGGAGATATAATTATATGAAACCATCGGCAATTACGGTTGATGTTGTCCGTCTCAAAATATATTTTATATTTGTAGTGTTTATAAACATTAACGATGAATGTTTATAGACATCAATCTTAACCTGTACAAAAAAAAATCAACAATAAAACATGCGTTATTAAAGGTTTTTCCTTAGTCGTTTAAAAACTAGCTCCATGCTTTTGTCTTGAAAAGGTTTCTGATTACGGCTGCGCCTCACACTTATTCGAATTAACAAGCATTACTCGCGCGAAGCCTTAATGATATTGTTTTGTCGTAATCTTATCGTAAACAAGAATGAAACAAGAGAAGTAAATACAAGATTAACATATGAATAAGTAAGTAAATATTTAGCATCTTTGTAACCAAGGGTATCTTGATGTATATTCGAGACTATGACTATCTTATTGTTCTTTTCACTTTAATCAAATGCAAAGCCTTGTTGCTTGATAGTTATCTAAAAACAGATTCTTGAATGATGATAAATATATTGTTTTAGGCTGTTATTAGTAAATCTAATTGACTTTGAAATGGAAAAACTCTTAATTGTGCTAGAATATTCTTCTTATATGTGTTAGAGATATTCTTTTTTTTTTATCTTTTACACAGTTGTCCTAGTGCACTGATAGTCTCTGGATAACCATATACCAATCATTCGGGTTACCATGTGTAATTTTTCTGTCTATGGTTTCTCGAAGTAAATCTATAGTGGGATATGCTCGCCCGCCAGCTGGCTTATTTAGGGCACGAGAAACCCCGAAACCATACTGATTTAGATCGGAAGAAAGGGCGGGATGAAGCCAATATTGGATATTTACTTACTCAATATAAATAATTGAGGCATGGTGATGAACTATGGCGCTGTTATTTAATAACCAAATTGCATACTTTCGACCGCCGTGCCAGCGGTCCATGACAAACTCAAGATATCGGACAGCTTTGAAGTTTCAATTTCGGCAGGTATCTCATAGCAGCAGATGCTCCTGATGTCCATTGTAAATACTATTATCATTTTACGTCTTGACCTATTCAACAATGTCACCGAACATGACTTTCCTCTAAGGTGGCGCCATTTTTTCGCCTGGTCCTTCTTTAGTTGGCGGTAAAAATTAAACCACGCTTTGGCTATGGCAAGCGTATTCTCCAGATGGATTTTTAATTGCGTAAAATTTTAACAATTGCACGTGGAATACATCATAGGCATTTTCTACTGGTGTCGAGTCAATTCACAGAGGATCGTGTTTTTACTTGGTTTCCGCATTTTCAGTATTTGGGTTTTGATTCTCTATCACATTACCTGTGAGATGTCTGTTTTGGCCGACAGAGCTTTAGAACTCTAAGCTCTGCTTTCATAAAAAAACCTCCCCAATTGCATCAATGCGTTCTTGGCCGTGGGGTCTCGATATTGGTTACCTTCTTGCTTTTCTTCAACTCTTTAGTATCAATTTTTGAAATATTTACATCATTCACGTAATGCACCTTGGCTTAAGATTTCTTTGCCTAATATCTTCATCAATCTCCGATAAAACTTCCGCAGCGACGTGGTTTTCGAAGGCTTCGAGAAAATTAAAGGACATCTTTCTATCTAAACTGATTTCTCCTGAGTTTCTGAAATATTTACCAGACAAATTTCGTCTGCTAGCGGCGCGTAAATTATAAGTTATTAAATTGCAAAGACCACTTGCAACAACTCAGTATAAATATTACAAGGTTCATAAGGATTGATCAATCGTTATAGTTTGGCGTCTGACGTGTGCTTTAAAGTTACGTGCTCCCTTCTGGCTGGCTTGACAATCCACCAAATTTTAAAACGTCGTTTTAAGATGCAAGTATGAGAAAATGCAGCTCAAAATTTTATGCCCCTTGAGCTTCACGCAGCCTAATATATTGTTTCGCATTTTACGCTAGTTCTTCATAAACAGACACAAAAGTAATGTAGACGCACCTAACTCATGTCGTTTCTGCTCTACCGAGTGTGCGATACCAAACGAAGTTACAAGTAGCTTAACAGACTTTAGAAAAACCTCTTCAAACCATCAAGCAGAGAGCGCTACCCGGAAAAATAGTAAGCTCCTCGTAAGTCAACATAAAATTTGTGGTATGTAGCTAGGGAGTGCGGTCTCAATACAATAATGCGGATTGCATGTTTAGCTACGGTATTTATTACTGAACTGGTATACTTAATAATACTCATACAACGGACATGCCTTCGTTTCATATTTAACCGTAAAGTGGATTTTTTTTTCCCTTTATTCATACCATATGTAAATAAAGGCTACTATCTGTCATGGAGAGTCACTCAGTTTATGTTTTTAAAGGCTCTGTGTCATGCATTTAAATAAATAAATAAAGATATTCTAAAAAATGAAGCTTCTAAAACGTATATTTACCTAATCCGTTGTGTAAATCCTTTTGGATCCAACTTTGTAGAGAATGAAATTTTCAGATCGGGTTTAGTATTTTAAGCTACTATTATTATTTTTAATCGGTTAATTAAGATAGGTGTGGTGAAAATCTATATGTAATACTCTAGGACGCTAGCTAAAGTCATTTGGTTTTTGCAACACCGTATGACAGGCGACATATTATGAAAAATTTGGCTATGGTAAACATTTTTCCTAAGTATGGAATACATTAAGATGAATCGAACTGTATTATTCGTCCAGCATAGGTTGTGTCATTTATTACATGCAACAAATTGAATGTTCGGTGTGATACATGATATGAAGGGGGAATAGGATCTTCAACTTCAAGGGTAAAATAACAGAGAAAAAAATTACTTCGTGAAAGAACGTAGAAAAGGAATTAGCAGAATTAAAGTAGCGGAGTGTGATCCATGCTTCAAACTAAACTACAGTAGCTGCTCTTAGAAGGTAGTATTTTTTATTCAAACTATATGGTACTATTTACAGTGCAGTTTTAGTAATTGAGTGTAGCGGAAAGGTTCGCCGTAGTTGGACGCATCGTAGTTATCATGTGTGAAATTTTCGTTATAACTGAAGATAGCAATAGACACAGACTTAATGTAACTACTCAACATAAATTGAAAATTGAATTACACAAGCAATAAAATTGCATGAGATAAGCTATATCGCACAATTTCAAAGAGTATATATAGGGGCATAATCAAATTTCTGAGGGGTACCACGTTACGCTAATTGTTTTTTTATATAGATAACCGTAGATACTTCGTCGGGAGCGCGCAGAAGTTGACCGAGTCGGCGAAGCCCAGTTCCTATTGAAGTTGCTTCCCGCTGCACTAGAATGAAGCTAGCGTCCAAAGCAAATTAGATGGACAAAAATTTGATGGAAACTATGAATCCTGTACGAAAACAATGAGTATTAACTAACAAAATAAACAGCTCGTCCAAGTGAATATGATATAACCGAAAAGAATTCAGATGTCATGTTAAGCAGAAATTAAATGGAAGAAAAAACACCAACCGTAATTAGAATGCGTACACACCAGGAAGACAGATTAAGGTAGTGGCGTGTATCGCTCAATCATACAGAATTTGTACAGAAAATTCATATTGTGAGAAAAGAAAGGCTTGCCCTTAGGGAAAATGAGCCCACAATTGAAGAGTTCGTAGTTATACTGTTAGGAAAAAGCAGGCTCACCACTAGTAAGAACAGACTTGCTCTTAAAAGAAAAAGCAGACATCTGTTTTATCCGTAAGCCTACATTCGGATCATGAAAATTGCATTTTTAGAAGAATGTGATTTTATCGCTTCATAGTGAATAATCTTCTTTCTTTTCGCCGAATATAAGCCTAAAGTTTCATTTCATCTATTATGTGGCAGCAACCGTTTCAGCGTTTCCGGCAGCGTTTTCCGAGATTCCGGGACGGTAAATAGTTTTCCTACATCACAAAGTAGCTTACAAAGGAATTTATGCAGCAGAAGTCGTAAAACTAGGTTGTTCCTCCGTGCCTCCCTCTATTCTGTGCAGTTATTGTAGAACATGGGACACGCACGCGCATATCTTCATGCAATTACGCCTGCGATGTTGCCCTCATCCTTCTCTTGGCCCTTCTTCCGAGCCTGTTTAGCCTGAAATGGCCTGTTCTCATTCTAGGCCGCTAGGTAGAT